ATAAAGTTGAGGACAAGTCGATTGAGACAGCAAAGGGAGAGAAACGGACAACTGCGCCGGAGAAAGTTGAGGAAAAGGCGAGTGAGACAGAGAAAGGGAGAGAAACATAAAGAACAAATGTTGCTCTCCAAAAAAAGAAAAGTTGACAGCGAAAATAGAGCATTTAATCCGTTATGGACAGACTCATTTCTGTTCATACTTCCCGCAGGGAGCACAAAACCAGTGTGTCTTATATGTTCAGAAACCGTGGCACTTATTAAAAGTGGCAATGTGAGACGCCATTATGAGACAAAACATAAAGGTTTTAAATAAACATACCCATTCAAATCCGAAGTGAGATCACAGAAAATAAGTGGCCTCACAGCCCAATATGAACAGTCAACCAGGATCCTGAGCCACACGTTCACTGCCCAACAACGTGCTCATGAGTGTTCCCTCAGAGTTGCTTGGATTTTGGGGCAACACAAAAAGCCATTTACTGATGGAGGGCTTGTCAAAGAATGCATGAGTGTCGTCGCTGAAACATTACTTGACGGAAAACCAAAACAAGAGCTTTGTGATAAGATAAAGCAAATACCCATGTCAGCATCATCTGCCACAAAGAAAGGTGAAATATTAACTCAGGATGTGCTAACCCAGCTAAATGAGGCCATACATAAGGCACCATGTGTCGGCTTAGCTGTGGATGAGTCCACTGACATCTGTGACAATGCTCAGCTGTTAGTGTATGTCAGGTTTTTCAACACAGACCAGAAAGCATTCTGTGAAGATCTGTTAGGTGTTACTCCCCTTCAAACCAGTACAAGAGGAGAAGATATCTACCTGGCCATTAAGGAGATGTTAACGAAGAGAGGAATAGAGCCAACACAAGTGGTTTCAATAGCCACAGATGGAGCCCCTGCTATGATAGGGAGAGAGAAAGGAGCTGTAGCAAGACTGAAAGAGGACAATCCAGAGCTCATAGCTTACATTGCATCATTCACCAATCTGTCCTCTGTGCCTCCCTGTCAGATGAGCATGCTGAAGTGATGAATACAATGATCAAAATGATCAATTTTCTCAGGGCATCCTCTTCCACCCAGCATCGCATGCTGAGGGAATTTCTCAGAGAAGTTGATGCCAATGCTGATGATCTTTTGCTGCACAATAATGTGAGATGGCTCAGCAAATGGAAGGTCTTAGCGCGCTTTTGGTCCATCTGGAGGGAAGTAGCATCTTTTTTGGCAGAGCTAAGACATCAGAAGGCAACGCAGTTTTCTCTCTTTTTAGGAAATGAGAAACAGATGTATAATGTGGCCTTTTTTCCCAGCAGTGCAGGAACAGGTACAGGGACAGAGAGATGTGTCTTCTTTTGTTGACTTCATTGATAAGCTGATCGTAAACTTCAGCAACCGTTTTGACAGCTTCAGCTTTGGACAGCAGCTCACCATGTTCATTCAGAACCCATTTATCATCACGGATGTCAGGGAGTTCTCAGAGGAAGTCACACAGCACTTTAAATGGGTAAATCCTGGGCCTCTCCAGATGCAACTGGTTGATCTCCAAGCAGATGTGTCCCTGAGAGAGCAGTTTCTAAGAACTGACCCTTCCACTTTCTGGCTCGTTCGAGGCTCACCAATGAGCACCTCCACATGTGCATGCGGATGGCCCTGACTCCATTCAAGCCCAGGTTTAAAGTCCTGGCAGGACAAGCTAGAGCTCAATTATCCCACTGACCAACAAAGTGGGGGAGTGGGATGCAAGACGAATGCTCTAAAACTGTTAAATTGTTAAGATGTGTTAAGATTTATTTGTAAAATCGTTTGAGACTGAAACAGAAACGGGGACATTTAAGCTTTTCCTCCCTTTATTTAATTTTTCTGAAGTTAAGCACTTCATTTGATTATTATTATTTATTATTACATGCGCGATTTTTATTTTGTATTTATTTTATTTTAAAAATGCAGCCCTACTTTTATTTAGTTCATGAGAGAGCATTATACATATCTGCAGTCACACATAAGTCCAGTTCTATGTTACATGATAATATATATTGTTAAAAAGTGTTTTATATCGTACCGAATTCCTTTGATTTGAAAGGTATTGATTATATGCAGATGTTTATACAACTACCAGGCTACTTAAATATATATCACACTAAATAGTTAGACATTATGATCTTCTGGACCTTTGCTTCAAGAAAATTTCTCTAACTGGACCTCTTAACATTTTAGTTGAATACCCCTGGTCTAGAATCACCCCAAGGTATGTGCCTACCACTTCCACATTGACCCCCTCAATGGAAACTGGTAGCATAGTGGGCTTAGACCTGTGGAAATCCACCACCATTTCCTTGGTCTTAGCAGTGTTGAGTTGTAAGTGGTTGTGTTTGCACTATTGCATGAAGTCCTCCACCAGGCTCACATACTCCCCTCCCTGGCCATCCCTGATACACCTGATATTGTGTATTAAAACTAACAATGTTTAATTAAAAGGACATGAGGACCGTCGTCGAGACTCTAAACCGGCAGCAGGACGTCAGCTTCAAAGGGACTCTGAACGGTTATAATAAATACATATTTTACAAATATTTAATTATTGAATTCCTCTCTGTAAGATCTTTTATGTTTGGCCAGCTGCCGGCCTATATGCTTGAAAATGTTTCATTGTTGTTCACCTATAGCATCATCGATTAAATACAATGAGGTTAAGCACGAATGATGTCCCCTGCCTTACGGTATGTAACCTCCATAATCGCTATATCTAGACGTGAAATACCATGAGGCTAATCACTATTGATGTAAAGACACTGATGACATTTTGGTACATTGAATTTATAGTGATTTTTGTGCATTTAACTGGACGAGGACTACTACACTGATTATGGACCACTTGATTTTTGAGTAACAAGACAAACGGTAGGTGTGTAAGTGGAATGTAGCCATAACCATTTAAATATTAACTAATTAGTCTGTTATATCAAACCTTCTCTGTACTTTATGACACTTAAAGGTAATGCAGTGTGATGAATACAACAGCCCTGAATTAAATGTTTACCTCAGTAACAATTTATGTGTTTCTTCAAACTAATCATAATTTGAATATACACATGCATACTGTTATCCAGTAAAATTCAGCAACATCACAAACTATAGCTCTCCTCCCTATCTGATCCATTGATATATTTTGGCTATTTCATGTCTGATATAGATATCTATATCTATTGATATATATGTTTACTCTGGTGCTCCATCATATATACCACTTTTTAATTTTAAATGAAAACAAAAGCGTGACATTACAAATACTTAATTATATTATATTAATTTATTAGCAACACCAGCTGATGCGGTGGCGTCATCAAGTCAGCTACTGTTCCAATTGCGGAAATGACCATTCTCCGTTCTCCCGTAACCGTGAATCTGGACTCCCGAGAACGCATGTCTGTTCTAGCCGTCTCAGGTATTGTGAAAGGGCCATTGTCACTCGGTTGCTAAAAAGGCTAAAAATTCAAACTTGAAGCTTCAAAATAAACAAATAGGTGAAATCACAATGACTACTTCCACCTCTAATATACAGTCTTAAGTTTCATGACTAGTTAGGTAGAGCACGGTGTTGATAAGTAAAATAGATGATATAGTAGGTAGGGTTTGTTACCTTGTTACCTACCACAGTGTTAATTAGTCAGGCAGTTTTTTCCTTTAACCCTACTTTAACCCTCACAGTGCGTTTTCAGCCCAAAAGTTAACTGTAACATGCTTGCCTAGAACTATTTTTTTCCATAACTGCTTCCCATGTCCCTACGGTTCTGAAAAATGTATTTTGTGAATCCATAGCTTGCTTTATACCACCACTATCTATATCCACCACTTGTGACATTTCCTGTGATACAACTCATCCCAAACTAATAATACTGTTTTAATTGGCTTCATAGAATCAGTTGTAACAGGATTGCACAGATGACTCCGACAAAAATGGCAGTGCAGAGCAGACAGAGGCAGATGGTATCTAGTAATAGTTTTTAATAAACGAACATGAAGAAACAGAAACCAAGCTAACTTTTTCAAGAGTGCATTCGGCAAATTAAACCTGAGCTGCTGACCGGGTGCACTTTGAGGGCACACCACACTGCTCCTCTCCCAACATGTTTTCCCTGCTTGTCCTTTTGTACCCACTCCTTGATAAGGAGATGGGGTCCAGGTGTGTCTCCTTGCACACCTGCACCTCAAGTGAGGAGTGTGTGGAAGCCTTCTGGCTGGATTGTGTAATCCTTCCACTATTCGCCCCTCAGCCCCTTACACAGTATACTGATGGTCTTTGTGTATTTAAATCTATCTATTTACATGCCCGTTTTTGAGAAAAGACTGAAGTTTTATGCCAGAAAGGCCTAAGAACGATGGCCACTGACTTGTGTATGTACATACTGTATGTACACACACGCACACACACACACACACACACACACACGCACCTTGTATTGTCCAAATGCCCCAGGAAGAAGGGGAAGCTTTCAAAGGGACTGTGAAAACTTCAGTCTACCAGAGAAGAAAATAATACTTTTTTGGAGGTGGGAGGTGGGAGGTGGGAGGCAAGTGTATATTAAGACTAAAAGATGGAAGTATGAGTGGATGTAAAAATATATAGGTTCTTAGTAAACCTGAAAGGGTTCATACAGACTCTGACATTCAGTTGTATTTAGCTGCCACGGCACATTAAATACATCATTTATAATGCAGATTTCTGGCAAATGGAAGATAGTGTGTTGTACAGTCCATAAATTGTCCAAAATGCTGCGGAGAGACGATGGAGCGTGGAGGGAGCTCGGCTAGAATAGCACAACATCAAGGAGGCATTTTGTCCCGATGAGTGACCGATAAGAGGCTCTTAAGCCGTGAGAAGTGAAACACACTTTGGTGTCATGTCAAATTGTCAATTTTGGTCTTTTTTTTTCCTTCTCGCTATTGAAGTCATCCATTTAGAAACAAATTTCCTCATTTATTCCTATCTCTTTCTCTTTGCAGGGAGATGAAGTGCTTACTGTCATCAAGACTAAGGCTCAGTGGCCAGCATGGCAGCCACTCAACCTGTAAGTATCACTCAGTGTCACTGAATGGGAGAGGCCCTTTAGTAAGAAAAAAAAACAGGAATCAACTTTTAACTGAAGTTAACATAGCTCTATATCATTGGTGCCTGTTTCACTTTGATCATCTTGGAGGCAGAATTTCACCGGTTGGAACATGTTGAACTTGTGCTCTTTGCTGTGCTCTCAACTCTCCATCATTTGACGGCTGTGGTGCCAACGATTTTCAACATTTAGCCTGGGAATTTTCCACACTACGGACGATTAACGCATTCATTTTGACAGCCCGAATGATATATAACAAAAAGGTACTCCTACAAAATCCAGCAAACATGAAATCCAACTGTGGTGTGTGTGTGTGTGTGTGTGTGTGTGTGTGTGTGTGTGTGTGTGTGTGTGTGTGTGTGTGTGTTTGTGTGTATGTGTGTGATACAGTAGTTTCGAGTGTTTTTTTCATAATATCGCACTAAATTGATGCACGGACAAGGGATCTATTCTCTCTCTTTTGCTATCTAGTTTGCAGTTTGTTGCATTTTTTCTATCCTGTACTGTGTCATATATTCCAGTTTCTTTGAATAAGTAGATACTATGAAGATACTGTGAATTTATATGAGATCATATATATATATATATAATTGTGAAACCTTTATTGTTGTCTCAAGTTGAAGAGAGTGCTATTTTTGTAGTTTTGGTTTCCTCGACACGTCAACATAATAGCAATAATACAAATAAAAACATAAAACAGGGATACAAGTATAATGGCATGAATTACTGTCAGGTAAAATATGTGGATATTGTATGTAAATACTTGTGTGAGCTTGATGAAAACAGCTGCCTTGTATCTTATTTTTCCTGAGGCTGCAGCACCGCTTGCCAGACAGCAGCAGCCAAACCCTCTGTGGTGCAGGCTCTACTGCTACAACAATCACTCTAAATGTACTGGATTGCAGACAAGAGACATCCAGTCATGTTGATCTGAACAATTGCATATAATTCTTAATTGCTATGATTTCTTCCCTTACACGGCTCGCAAAAAGCCGGGCTGTATAGTCACACACTCTGGCATCCGGGCACTCTTTGGAACCTGCTCAAGAGCAATTAGAAACCTATCACAATTCTATCCACCAGCACTGCATGGGCACGAACACACACACACACACACACACATTAATGTACCGTATCATTCACCAAACACCTTCACCAAACACCGTCTGTCATTTGCGATACATTGTGCCGCTATTGTTTTTACTAATGAGAACCTACATGCGTGCACGCACACAACCGCCTGTACGATCACACAGTCACTGTGAGCATGAAATATGAGCTCAATTTGTCAATTTTGCATGCAAAGTTGTCAAGTTGTTCAAAATAGTTGTCACAGTTAAGATGTGATAATTAAGATACAGAGGAATGTTTTTCATTCAAAAACATTCAAAATTCTCTGAGGGTTTTTTATTTCAGTCGATGAGAGGGAACATTTCATTATGAGCTATTTTTCGACCACTAATTGTATATTTTGGAGGTTCATTTAGCAGAGGTTGAGTCGGGTCAGAGGTCTTGACATCAGAGCAAATTACCCAGTATTATACAAAAAAAATGCTTACTTAGAGCTGTCTCATTAGAACATTTAAAATGGAATTTAATTATCTATTTTCTTTTATTCTTTACCAAACCAAACCAAGGCGAGCAGCTCCATCAGCTGAGTTTTCTGTTGACCGGACCTGTCACCTGATGTCCTTCCTCACCATGCTGGGGCCTAGCCCAGATTGGAATGTGGGGCTGTCGGGAGAGGACCTCTGCACCAAGGAGTGTGGCTGGGTCCAGAGGCTCGAGACGGACCTCATTCCCTGGGATGCAGGCACTGACAATGGTGTAACATATGAGGTAATCTAGCCTAATGTCACCGGTTAGTTCAAAGGCATGTTGGCAATGGAGCCTGAGAGTTTTTACATCCAATCGAGCAGAGGTTCCCACCCTTTTCCAGGTTGCAAGCTACTAATGGACCATATCATGGGGATTGACCCCTTCCCACCTAGGACCAGCCAATGGAGGGATGGGAGGGTGATCAGCCTGGGTTGCTTTGAAATGAAATGAAATCTGTTAGTAAGCAAGGATCGCCAATCAGCATTAGGATTAGTCATCTCCTGCGATCGAACCGCACATGCGAGACGTCACTTTTTTTATCGATGGCACAACGCCTCAAGTTTGGCATTCCATTACTCTGGAAAATGTTTAAGTAAGTGTTCAACTTTGTAGAGTCCTACTGTCTCCCACATGATATGAAGGATTTCTTTTGTATCTTTTAACCAAAATATTACAGGGCGGTACTTGAAAATTATAACTACAAAGAGAATAGTGAACTTGCATTTACATGTATCTCCTTCTCAGACTTTCTTTGTGGACGTCTACCTTTTATCTTATTCAGTACTTTTGCACATGTTAAGTTGGTTAGAAACAAAGGGGAGAGAAAGAGAAGAAAAGAGGCCCTGTGTGAGATGGCTTACAGGAGAAGTGGTGGCTGAAGACTTTTTGGCCAGTGTTATTACTTTATTGGCTTTAGTTTGCATGCGTAAATGACTGCCGTTCCACTGTTCTGTTACCCTTAAGAGAAACCATATTGTTTGACATAAAAGGATTATTATGGATAATGGATAATTGGATTATTATTCTTGGCGCACACATAATTCCCATGTCCTAAATGTTGCCTCTTGTCCGTTGTGGTATGAGGACAATTTACAGAGCTTCTTTGCCTAAAACGGCCGCAATGTGCTGAAAGGCGCTGGGGCGCTCTGTAGAGCTAAGGGGAGTTTGGTGATTATTATTTGTCGGCTTGTCTCTGCATGCAAAATCTTTTACATGACACAAATTTATTTAATTCATTGTTACTATAAAACATACTGAATATAGCAGCTTTAACCTTTTGAATATCATACCCATTTTACCGTGGGCTTTTTTTCAGTCCCCCAACAAGCCAACCATTCCTCAGGAGAAGATCCGACCATTGACCAGTTTGGACCACCCCCAGAGCCCGTTCTACGACCCAGAGGGGGGTGCAATTACCCCTATTGCCAAGCTGGTGGTGGAACGAATTGCCAGAAAGGTACAATGTAGTATTTAAATGTTATTCTTATTCTTCAACTGTCATGAAAACAATCAACTTCTTTAACATGATAGATGAATGAAAAGTACAGCTTGTAAGAATACGTGTTCAAGAATTGGAGCCTGGTCAGGGTTATCAAAAATTCAGCCGAACAACTTCTCTCGTTCTGGGAGATTGGTCAGATCACAGGGTAAGTATCAGCGCTGCGTTTGCAAAGGCAGGAGCAGTTCAGGCAGCACACAGGCCGGAAGAACAACTAACTAAAATCAGCAAGCACATCATGTTTTATAACCCTTGAAAGACAGAGAAGGAAAGATTTCTTTTGGCCCTAAACTGGCGTAGAGGAGGACCTTCCACCCCCCGCATCTAAAGATCCGGTCACATCCAATGTCCGGACAGGACAGAAACTGACTCCCCATCCTGTCAGACTCGTGTCTGCCTGCTCGGCACATCCTGCTTCCTCCCTTACCTAACTCTTAAATCAAGACAAGACAGCGAACCCCCAACTAAGCCCATGAAAAGAACTTTTGATTATCAAGCTCCACTATATCATACCAGTAAAAGTGCATTTATAACCCATTTTTAGTTAATATGGATACTTGAGTGTTGCCACCGATTTGAGTGGATGCAAAACTACTTCACTCATGTCTATTTATATAATTATTTTGTTTTCAAGTGTACTACCGTATTTTCCGCACTATAAGGCGCACTTAAAAGCCTTTCATTTTCTCAAAAAATGACAGTGCGCCTTATAATCCGGAGTGCCTTATATATGAATCAATTGGTTAATTGGTTGATCCATACTGGTTGTACACGGCGCTCAAGGCGCTCTGCCAAACATGCCAAAGTTCGGTCTACGACGGCGAGATGCTGAGCGGGCGCTCAAGCGCATGAGATATGGAGCTTGTTTCAGGGCGCGTCGGAAAAACAAAGCTGTCATTCTTGCCGAGCACTTAATGAGATTAAATAGCGAGAGACGGTGCCCTTTTCTTTACAGTAGCTGAACCATCTTAAAAGGGAAAATAAGTTATTCTAAAAGCAGCCGAAGATTTAAGGCGTGGATGGCGAGGGGGGAGGCGGGAGCGGACGCCCCTCACGGCATCGATCGGACCCTGAAAGCACCGTCTCCACCTCCCCACATCCACCCGGCCCGACGTCAAACGTTTGACTGCAGTATCTTATGCGCCTTATAATCCGGTGCGCCCTATATATGAAAAATGTTCTAAAATAGGTAATTCATTGAAGGTGCGGTGCGGAAAATACGGTACAAATATATTAGCTTCCTCAATGTAAGCTATATCTGCTTTTACTAAAGAAAGATATGTAATTCATGTACAAGTTACCACAGTGGCAGAACACTAAGCAACTGTGTTGAGGAATCAGATGATTTTCATGTTGAAACGAGACTGCCAAACTATGTAAACTCTGTTGATCACACATACACAGAGGCCTGGAGGTTATTTCAGAAAATACTTGCAATTCATTCATAATCAACACAGCATGCAGATCTGAAATACCAATGTCACAAACACAGCCAACGGAGATGACAAATCAGTTTCATGCTCAAAGATGCGTCTTTCTGTGATGAGCTTTGGATGAATTTTCTAGTTTTCCTTGTGTGTGTAGGGAGAGCAGTGCAACGTGGTCCCGGACACCATAGACGACATTGTTGCTGATATTGGACAGGAAGACAAGGAGGAAGGTACAGTCAATGGACACACCCATACAAGTAAAATAGTCGTAGCGCAGACATTGAAGGGGTTTTGGTTATCTGGCTTGTTAATTTCCCATGGCTTTAATAATGCTAGCTAACTCGCTAGAACGGTCAAAGTGGTTATGGTAAACATACAATTCCCATAGCTCTGGCCATCCTGCTAAATTAAATTTGGTTGGAACATGTCTCACGCCCATATCATTTCAAACCATATGCTGATTACAGTTTTTCAAGGAAAGATATAATAAATTCACTAAGGCCTTGATTGAGTGAGACAAGACAACATTGCACGAGGAATAAAATAAAATATAATGCTATGGGTTAGTTGTACAAGGCTATGGGTTAGTTTAAAAATGAAGGAATACAAGTTAAAGTTAAAAAATATTTAGAAATTAAAGCGCACCAGCGAACAGAAAGGGAAAGTGACGTGTGCAGTGAGAAAGAAAGTGGCCAGTGGAATGACAGTCAGACAGTGGGGGACCGGGCCCGACTGCCGACGGGAAGAAACTGTTTGTGTGGCTGGAGGTCTTGGTCCTGATGGACCTCAGCCTCCTGCCAGATGGAAGGGGCACAAGAGGGGTCGGGTACAATCTTTTTAGCTTGCTTCATGGTCCTAGAAGCAAACAAGTCCTGGAGAGACGGCAGATTGCAGCCGATCACCCTCTCTGCAGGGCGGAAGACATGCTGCAGCCTGCCCTTGTCCTTGGCTGTGTCTGCAGCGTACCAGACGGTGATGGAGAAGCAGAGGATGGACTTGATGACGGCCGTGTAAAAGTGCACCATCATTGTTTTTGGCTGGTTGAGTTTCTTCAGCTATCTCAGGAAGAACAACCACTGCTGAGCCTTCTTGGTGAAGGAGCTGATGTTCAGCTCCGACTTGAGGTCCTAGGTGATGCCCAGGAAACGGAAGGAATCCACAGTGGTGACGGGGGAGTCACCTAGGATGATGGGGGAAGGTGGGGCTCTGTTCTTCCTGAAATCCACAACCATCTCCACTGTCTTTAGAGCGTTGAGCTCCAGGTTGTTCTGGCTGGACCACGACACCAGATGGTCAGACTCCCACCTGTAGGCGGACTCAACCCCACCAGAGATCAGTCCAATGAGGGTGGTGTCATCCGCAAACTTCAGGAGCTTGACGGACTGGTGACTGGAGGTGCAGCTTTTTGTGTACAGGGAGAAGAGCAGAGTGGAAAGAACGCAGAACATGAACCCAAACCGTGACAGGGCGGCCATGTTGACAGCATCATCTACAGACCAGTTGGCTCTGTAGGCAAACTACAAGGAGTCCAGGAGGCGGTCAGTGAGGGTCTTCACGGGAGACAGGACGTGTGATCCTGGGCTTCTTGGGAACAGGGATGATGGTGGAGGCCTTGAAGCAGGCTGGTACGTGGCATGTCTCCAAGGAGGTATTGAAGATGTCAGTGAACACCAGAGACAGCTGGTCAGTACAATGCTTCAGAATGCCGGGAGAGGCTCAACTGGTCTAGATAGACTCACAGATGGGTTTAGGTCAGGTAGTCCGAACACAGAGAGGGCAAGTACTGGCCTTTTAAACATACTTTACATGCCAGACACCAATCAATCAAATCCTGTCACTCCTGGCTACGATGTTTCAGTAAGACTGCATACAAGATTTGTTTCCAGCTTTTACCTGAGAGTTTGATCTGTAATTTAATAAATACACACGGTGAAGGACAGGACCAGGAGTCTTCGTCATTCATTTATGTTGTTTGGGGGATAAATAGAGCGGCCATGACAGAGAGCATTTAGTTTGCAACCCTTAAAAAACTTAAAAATTGTATTTGTATACTGTCACGGTATTACCTACTGGAATGGACCCAAACGCAGATCGATTTTAATTTTAATTTTTTATTTATTTCTTGGGGCCAATAACGGAAAATATAACAGGGTGGTGATGGCGGTTTGGAATCCCAAGTAAGGTGCAGGTGATTAGGATGGAGGAGTGAGGGAAAAACATGTCTAGGTGTCCAGAGGTTCGATTCAAGCAGGAGATTTAACAAACCCTGAAGTCTGAGTTAATTTACCCTGAGATGGTAAATTCAGTTTTCGGGAAGGGGAGCTTCATTTTTTGCTTGCAAAACAAAATGCTCAAAATGAATTGTAGATACAAGCTATAACAAGTAATACAAACTCAACACAACATACCATTTTAAAAAATGTATTTAGGACAGATGAACAGCCATCCCCAAAAGACAACTATGAAATATGTGTCAGTCAGTGTGTTTGTGTCATTAACCAGAAAAATTCCATTGGACACAACAATATCAACAACAGAACATAAAATGTAGATATGGGTACAAATATGTAAACACAGTCTACACAAGATGCAATAGCCAATAGACTAAAGACACACGTGAACAGCATGTACTAAACCCATTAATGAGCCACACATGACATTGCTTGGGAGCCGGGAGTCTCAGAGAGCTCAATCTGAAAAAAAATAAATCTAAAACCCAATAAAAACTCTAGAGCAGCGATTCCCAAAGTGTGGGCCGCGAGAGGTCATTTACAATATATAAATAAAGTTTTTTAATTTTCAATTTTTAAAAGTTTGAAATTAATATATAAATATGTATGTATGTATATGTATGTACATTAGGTATGTGAAACATTAGTTGATGAAGCACAAACAATTTAAACGGACAGATTAATTAGGCTCTCGCTTGAAACGGCTGCTATTTGTCGTTGTTCAACCTACGGGGCGCCCTCTTGTAGTATTAAAGTAAATATACCGCATTTTCCGCACTCCAAGGTGCACTTAAAAGGCTTTTATTTCCTCAAAAAACGACAGTGCCTTATAATCCGGAGCGCCTTATATATATGGATCAATTGGTTAATCGGTTGATCCATAGTGGTTGTACACGGCGCTCAAGGCGCTCTGCCAAACATGTCAAAGCTCGGTCTACGATGGCAAGATGCTGAGCGGCGCTCAAGCGCGTGAGATATGGAGCTTGTTTCAGGGCGCGTCGGAGAAACAACGCTGTCGTTCTCGCCGAGCACTTCATGAGATTAAAGAGTGAGAGACGGCGCCCTTTTCTCTACAGTAGCTGAACCATCTTAACGGGGAAAATTAGTTATTCTAAAAGCAGCCGAAGATTTAAGGCGTGGATGGCGAGGGGGGAGGCGGGAGCGAACGCCCCTCACGGCATCGATTGGACCCTGAAAGCACCGTCTCCACCTTACTGTCAAAAAGAACAACAGCGAGCGTATAGAAAACTCCTTCGAGCGCGAGCAGAGATTCTCCTCGCAGCAACGAAGTTCACGTTTCGCAAGCGAGCAAATACCTCGCGGAGACGGACTTTTGCTCGCGCGAGACGGACTTTTGCTCGAGTTTGGGAACCGCTGTTCTATAGCATTAACGAAATTAAGACGAAAACTAAAGACATTTTCTCTATAATTCTATTTTATTTTAGTTAGTTTTGTAAAGACACGATACAGTTTCAGTTGGTTATCGGTTTTTTAAAAAGGGTCATTTTATTTTCATTTCAGTAACAAAAAAAAAAATTACACCTCGTTTTCGTTTTTGTTAACGATAATAACCTTGGTTCCAATATAGTGTTGTTAGTTAATATTTCATTTACACACTAACCATAATCCATACATTTACTAATTCCCAGTGTAAAAATTACATTTTTTACAAATACACACCTATGCTCATATTTAATCACAAGAATAATATCTCTGGTAAAAACTGGTACAATGGTATTGGACCTATAATGTATTTTATTCAGGTGCAATGCTGTGGATCTCCTATTTAATGGCTGTCACTGGTTTGTTTCCAGGGAACAAAAAGGTTTAAAAGACACTTCAGAGCGAGGCACACGTCTCTCACGGCTCTGCATACAGCAGCTTACTAATATTCTAATGTTGTAAAGGAAACTGCCGTTTGCAAAAAAAACGTAATACTGCACAAAAAATCTGCTCAGATGTGAGAGCATGTCCACAATGGTGGATGTTACTTATATGAGAATGGATGAGGTTATGTACATATTTGATGGAAAAACGATACCGTTCAAGCAAGTAGTTATCTGGAAATGACAATATATCTAATTGGGGCCTCAATATTCTCTTCCGACGTGTTTAACACCCTACGAAGTAATAGCTCTTCTTCTTCAACAGGATCGTCCAGAAAACTACGTGCCAAGAAAACATTTTAGTCTTTAACGTAACAGAGATTTTGTGCATATGTCGAAACCATACGCCTGATACAGAGTACTTGAATGAATGAGGAAATGAAAGTGCGCTGTGTGATAGGCTGGGCTGCTGTCAGAGGGAGGAGACTGTGAAAGAAACTCAAGGTTTATTGAAGAAAACCTGCACTCGACAAGGTTATGTTTACAGGCTCAGTTACCATAGTGACTAACCCTGGGGTTTAGTTACCTCTCTTTCTGAAACAGAAAGAAAGAAGCCAGAGTTCCCTCATCTCAGGGTTAACAAACTCTGAGTTTTCACTAATTGGACCCCAGGGCCCTGTTTCTTATGTTAAACTGTTGGAATAAATGTTACATATTTAACTGCAAAGTAATGATGTGTGTTTGATACCCTTTTTGCATTGAATCATACAGTGATGTTTACTGCCCTTCCAAAAAAAAAAATCCACCAACGGCCACTGATAATGGGATATTTGATTGACTTAATCGAGTTGAACCACGTACGAAGAACAGGAGACCAACAGCCAAGAGACCCCTGTTTATGTTCACTGTGAAAAGTCTAATTTTCCTTATTTATGCTATCTACCTAATTGAAATGATCTAACAAAGCATCATAGCAGCATTGTATTTTTTTAAAAACATAACCAACTAAGTTTGTAGTGTTTCTCTTTTTGCAACCATTATGAGAAAATACAGAAGCAAATCCAAAAAGTATTTAAGCGTGTATGTTTTGGTTGTACAATACATCCCACGCGCTAGTTATTTTTGAGCACAAACCAGGACCAGCGCTGTGACCTTAAACAAAATGAGCCGTCCCCTTCTTGCTTGTTAACCAGCAGATGGGCTAAAGATGAATACGGACCAGTGCATGATGGGGTTTTTGTAGTACATCGGCACTTTTGATTTTAAGTGGCCTTGGAGAGGGTGCCGTATTTTGCCCACTTGCAGAATTTCTGAACAAGAATCTCCCACAGCCTAGTAAATGTCTTCCTCGGTCAGTCATAGACCACTTCCTCCTTTTCTTTCTTTTTCCCTCTCTCTTTCCTCCGCCGTCCCTTTTGTCCTGCTGCAGCGTCTCCCTGCTTTCACTTACTCATCAGCTCTATGTGTCCTCCTCCCTTCCTCTCTGTGTCTCCGGCTCCTTTGTTTCCTCATTCCTCACTCTGTCATTAGAACAGTGGTTCTTAACCTGGGTTCGATCGAACCCCAGGGGTTCGGTGAGTCAGTCTCAGTGGTTCGGCGGAGGTCAAGACACACACCTGACTCATATGATTCGTGATTACACGCCCCGCTTGGCCATCATTGGCTGCAGGAGATCACGCAACATCGCTTGGCCTATCTGTGCTGCAGGGAATTTGGCGCGCTCAGTAGTAAAATTGTGACTGTCGTGATGGTACGTCGTGTGATTTCTTTCTTAATATTTTAATCCCTTCATACTAACTATGTCGAGCAAAAAAAGAAAGTGGTCGGACGAATATGTACAATATGGATTCACATGTATAACGGAACGTGATGGGAGTCAGCGTCCTAACTGCATGATTTGCAATGCCAAGTTGAGCAATTCTAGTCTAGCACCGGCAAAACTAAGAGAACACTTCCTTAAGCTGCATGGAGATGGACAATACAAGAACACAACGCTCGCTGAATTCAAGGTGAAGAGAGCCAGATTCGATGAAAAGGCTACTCTGCCTGTTCTCGGCTTTGTACCCATCAACAAACCGATCCTCACAGCATCGTACAAAGTTGCTTACCTGATCGCAAAGCAGGGCAAACCACACACCATTGGTGAAACACTCATAAAACCAGCTGTGTTGAAGATGGCGAATATCATGCTGGGAAAAGCGGCTGAAGTTCAGTTATCCCAAATTCCTCTTTCAAATGACACCATTAGTGACAGAATAGAGGACATGAGCAAAGACATCTTGGCTCAAGTAGTTGCAGATCTGATTTCAAGCCCGGCAAAATTCAGCCTTCAACTGGACGAGACCACAGACGTTTCCAATCTAAGCAAGCTTGCTGTATTTGTGCGCTATGTGAAAGACAACGTGATAAAGGAAGATTTTTTATTTTGTAAGCCTCTTACGACAACAACTAAGGCAGCCGATGTGAAGAAACTTGTGGATGACTTCTTCAAAGACAACAATCTTTTGTGGGATATGGTTTCTGTAGTTTGTTAGGACGGAGCTCCAGTCATGCTGGGAAGAAAGTCTGGTTTTGGTGCGCTAGTTAAAGCCGATGCACCACACATCATTGTTACTCATTGTATTCTGCACAGGCATGCGTTGGCAACAAAAACCTTGCCTCCAAAACTGGCAGAAGTATTAAAAATTGTTTTAATGGTTTTGTTCTTTGAACACTGATGTTGATGCACAGTTCATTTTGTGCACCAGTAAAATATATACCTATGTTTTGAATTGTATTTTTCCAATTAAGAAGGGTTTGGTGAATGCGCATATGAAACTGGTGGGGGTCAGTACCTCCAACAAGGTTAAGAACCACTGCATTAGAAGTAATCTCGGGGAACTGCACCCGCTCAAGGTTTGTCCCTGAGGCCTCAGGGTTTATCCTCTCTTGACTCTCTCTCCCTCTCATTTACTCTGGCTCTCTGGAGAGAATACTTTTAATTGAAGCATGTCCTCCTGCTACTTCTTGGTGCTCCACCTACACTTATAATTGGGCAAGACATTCACAAATGTCCCCAGATCCCCACAGATGTCGCTGTTGGTGGTCTCTCGTGGTCCAGTACCTGCAGTAATCACCTGTGGGTACGATGTTAAACTATCAGTGTCACCCCATTGACATATCATAATGGCTCTTTTTCCTTGTTAATTCCTGTGTTTCTCACTTAGATGACACACCAGAGACGTGCATCTACTCGGGTTGGTCTCCCTGGTCAGCCTGTAGCAGCGCAACATGTGAAAAGGGACGCAGGATGAGGCAGAGGATGCTGAAAGCCCAGCTGGACCTCAGTGTGCCGTGTCCCCACACCCAAGATTTCCAACCCTGCATGGGGCCAGGATGCAGCATTGAGGGTAAAAACAGAAATACATTGAAATGTGTATACACACACTACATATAAGAAGTACAAGTTGAAGTTGAGAGCTTCCCTTCAATAAATAATATTTTTTGGGTTATGTCTTAGCACTTCCAGTAACCCAGCCAAAGTGAGAGAGCACATAATGTTGGGGCGGAACTGCCATACGTGGGGGAAAAAACAATTCATTTCAACTCCTTTTTGGGGGGGTGGAGGCTGCATTAATATATATGTATGTACATCGACCACACAATTAGTGGTAGTAGTCACAGTATGATCTTTCGGGCCTCTGCTTCTAGAAATTTTCTCTAACTGGACCTCTTCACATTTTAGTTGAAGACCCCTGTACTAGTACATCATTTGCCATGTAGGAATATAATATCTACCAAAAAAAGTGATTGGTCTGTTTAGTGATCTGGGACTGCTATTATTTTCAACAAAACTGTTTGTTTGAAAAAGAGCAATATATAGAAAAGGTCACTAACTTCTGTATCAATAAGAGACTTATTGTTTTAAGTACACTTCTAAACTCTTCAAACAATATGCTGTGAAGAGGTTATTTTTTACTCCCAAACTCCATTGCATGACTATAAACTCACTGTTATCATTGTCTTCTGCCACCCTTGGACATAATTGGAATAAGAATACCATTGTATTCTTTTTTGATGAGTGAACCCTCAAAATAATAAGCAGGTTAAAACTTAGGTATTTATCTCGTCGTGAAAACCTGAAGAGGATGATTCATTTTGGCCAATCTGCAGGTGGAAACACAAACCTGCTGCCTCATTTCTATGTTCACAGCTTAGTGGAATTGTTTGTGCAACCATTGCACAGCTGTTAGGATTGTTGTGAAGGATTATGCAGCGTGTGTGTGAGGGAACAGGTGAAACAGAAGAAACCCAAACACACCATAAATTGATATGGTTACACCAAGATTATCCAGCACAAAATACCCTGCGTTTGGTAGTTTAATGAGTTCTATCATGTTAGGTTTTGTGTGTTTTTCCAGATAAGTAATAATAAGCCTTTTTTAACGGTAGCCTGCGTGCTTGTTTGCAGATAGCCTTCTGTGCATGCTGTCGCCCTGGTCCGACTGGAGCGATTGCAGCGTAACGTGTGGGCGGGGCTTACAAACACGTCAGAGGATGCTGAAGTCGGATCCCGCCGGGTGCTCCGAGGAGCTGGAGCAGATGGAGAAGTGCATGCTGCCCGAGTGCCGTGAGTATCTGCAGCCACTCGTTTACTAACAGAATGATAGAAATGCCATTCTTTTGTAGAGTTTTTCATTTTTTTCATTTATTGCCTGTCTCAATTCCTGGTCGTGTGTCTGCAATATCTCAGAAAAGGGAATTAAGGGAATTAACTTTAATTTGGCATCTAGCTGAACTCAGCCAATATGCTAATTATGACAATTTGACAAAATAACATTTTTTTCTGCTGTAGACCGTCTTTTAAGTGTTTTGTTGCACAAAGGCCCACTAACGCGGTTACGTAGTGTGTGTTAGCACAACAAGATTTCACATTGTCCCGTGGTCATTCATAATGGTAATGGCTGATAATACTCCAATCTGGATGAGATTACTGCATGTGACTCCATCAACCCTGAATCTACTACTAATAATTGAATGAGAGCTAGAGGGAAGGGCAGAGGAGGCCGTTTAAATTGGAACATGCACCAGTGACAAATGTGATTTTGATTAGAAGAAATATGCCACAAAATGTTCCCCATGCTTCTATTAGTTTCTTGACTTGACTTAATTGTTTGTCCTTCGTTCTCTCTTCCAGCCGCCGATTGCATGGTCTCTGAGTGGTCTGAGTGGTCTGAGTGCAATAAGTCCTGTGGCAAAGGACACACCATCCGCACCCGTATGGTCAAGCTGGAGCCGCAGTTTGGGGGCAGGGCTTGTCCCGAGACCATCCAGAGGAAGAAGTGCAAAATCCGAAAGTGCCGGACGAAAGAAGGAAGTAGGGGCGCAGTCGGAGGGGCAGTCGGAGGACAGAGAAGGAGACGAGGAAAACAGGGAAGAGACTCAGTGGCCGAGGAGCAGTCAGGTTTGTTGGGAACAATCCGTCACATTGACTTTAAATGCACAAAACGCCCAGGTTGAGACACTTCTGTTTCAGGTTGCAGGATGCAGCCATGGACCGCCTGGACGGACTGCACCAAACCGTGCTCGGGGGGGATCCAGGAGCGCTTCATGGTGGCGAAGGAAAGAGACAAAGGTGCCATGGCGGTTGGCTGCAAGGACCGGAAGGAGGTCCGCGCCTGTAACGTCTATCCCTGCTGAAGGGGTTGGGGCTGAAAAGGTATTACTACTGAGCATCAGAGGAGGGGGAGTATGGGGGGGAGGGTGGGGGGGTGGGCACCAGGTTAAATGCTTGAGACAGGAAAATATTGGTTTGATAGAGAGAGTTGAGGGGGGTAGAGGATGGCCTAGTTTGAAACTTTTAGTGACAAGCGGAGAGTTGACGTAAGAGGAGGCAAAGGAAGGAGGAAAGGAGGAGATGATAATGTGTTGTTTAGTAAAGCCGCTGTAGGCATTTAGTTACCAGGGCTTACATTTTGAACGGTGAAAGTATCAGAGACAAATGTCTGTGTCCTGCAAAAAAAACATTGAATTTAACCCCTAAAAAGAAGCCTATTAAGTATGCATATTTGTAAGAATCTTTCTCAAAAAAGGTCCAAAAGAGAACATGTCCCCAGTGGAAGATGGTTTATCACGAGAAAAGAGCATTTCTATGAAGAAGAGTAGCATTTAAGTTGCCAACTGTCTCCTCATTGAGGACAAGAAATCAGACAGAAAATGTAAGGATTTCTTTTTTTTTTTGCAAGACATGGATGGACGCTCACACAGGCAGTCTCAAAAGACTTGTGGATGTGCTCTTATATCTAACCAACACTTATAAACGACACTACAATGTAAGTACGGACGGAGACAAGTGGGATGCAAAACCCATCACGCAGTAAGACTCTTACTGGGGCCTCAGTTTCATCTCACTGCAATGATGTTTTATTTTAAAAAAAGTATAATTTCCATCTTATTGCCACGTGAAAGTTACTGTAAAATCCTTTTTCTTTATGATGATCTTTTCAGTTTTAATAAGTTATTTTTTCTGTCGATGTTCTCTTTGCCCTCTCACTCTCACTCTTTTCTGTTTTCAGGCCTCTTTTTTTATTTCTTTGCCTCCGTATTATGGCCCTACTTTCAAAAAAATCACCTTTACAATACAATAAAAAAAATTAAAAAATGTAAATGTGAAAATTACAATTTCATTTGACTCTTTTTGATCAACGGCAAAATAATAACATATATCCGGTGTATGAAATCATTTCAAGAGCTTTCAGACTTTTTATGAGAGCTACTTCTTCAGACGTGGTATTTCAAATAGTACAGTTTTACAGTATAACAGTTTTACCCTCAGCATAGGGGTCTGTGGTACAGATTGAGAAGTAAAGCCTACCTCCAAAAAACACAAGGTTAAAGGGATCGGGAATCTTTAAAGGATTCAAACACAGAGATTTTTTGAGTGCACATTCCAGTTGCATTTATTCATTTTTATTTATTTGTTAGAAAAAATGAGTACATCGTGGCCAATTGAGTGTGTACAGCTTTCTCAGCTTTGTAATTACAAGTATATTCCACTAGATGGAGGTAGAGTGATAAACACTATTGTGTATATCATACCAAATATTGAATACACAGTATGACGCTGATAAAGAAGCATTTCACTCACAATTTTGAAACTTTTATTTTCCATACATTAACATGAACGAAACATTTAACATTAGGAAGGACACAATTGCTTTAAAGATGGTTTATTATTTTCAGTGGTACATATTTTTAAGGGGACGCTCATTCATTTACACTTAAGATTAAAGGTGAAAGATCTGCGAATCACCAAAAAGCTTAGATATCCTGACTTTCAGTCCGTATTATTGGGTCATGCTATCTTCACTAGATGTCCCATAATGCATTACCCCCAACTTTTGGGAAGGCTTTCTGTCCACGCTTAGATAACCCTGATGACATCACAAAGATGTCATCAGGAGGGGTTACTTTTTTTGGACAAATTCTCTCTCAGAAGCCATTACTCAGCAGTTTATACCGTTGTTTAATAGTATTGATTTTGACATGTAATATCAGTGTTCCTTTAACAATCAAAAATGGCCAAATAAAATTGAGACATAACAGTATGTTGGGTGCAACTTTAGCAGGTTTGTAATGAATTACATTCAGTTGTGTGTTGGCAACAATGACATTTTTTTGGCCAAAATAATAATCAAACTGTTATACTTAACGTCATTGTACCAAAGCATCATATGAGTACCGTCATCTACCTTCGTAAACAAGATCAGACCAACAGCTGGATATTACAACCATTTGTCTCCTAAAAAATGGCATTCCCATCCAACTACACAACACCTTTAGTCACGTACTGAGGAGACTTATTATCCGATTATCTTCCAAACATGAAGGTCCCAAATTTAAGCCGTCTCAAACTGTGATTAACGAACAATCTAAGATGCGCTTCTTTGTAGATCATCTTTGGAGAAATGCTTGTTTCCTCCTCTGTTTTTTGCCTAGGTATGTGAGAGAGACAAAGAGGCAGTTTTGTCTCTCTTTGTTTTCTTAGGAAAGATTAACTCTATTTTCGAGTTAGTATGGGGAGTTTGGTCTATGGTTTTGGCCTTTGATACCCTGATTTCCCTCTTCAGTTTGTGTTGTTTTATCTTCTAGGACTTTATTCATACATTTCATTTGTTTTGTTTTTCAATAGTTTTTTTTAGAGTACCATTTTGTATTAAATTGACCTGGAACAAAGTTGGAAATGATGTCTCCCCTAAGACCACCAGAGGGCAGTGTACTCCAGAGAAAGCTAGCAGGAAGCAGCACGTTTAAATTTAACATTTAGATTTACATTTAACATTTACATTTAACTTTTATATTATTTAAAAACTTTGTGTTACTGCCAAACATTATTCTTGGAAAAAAGTTATTGCATGAATTTACATGAATTTCTCTCTAAATGTTTGAAAAAATGACATGAATATTTTCGTGGTTTTTTGTTCATATGATAATGCTAAATGTAGTAAAACTGCGCAGGATTTTAGAACATGCAACATTTTGCGAGCGACAGACAAGAGCTCAGAGGTTCACAACGTGTACCATCCATCATCCTCTTCCTTGCTAATATACACTATACTGATGCTCTATTTGTTTATAGCTGATAAACAATCTGGAGTATTATATAACCACAATGTCACGTCCAAGGGGAGTTTTAGCAACTACTGAAATCCTCCAGTGTATTATACCTCCTCTGAGTCTATCCTTGATAACCATGATTCCCTCACATTCCTGCAGAACCTGGGCTAATGCAATGCTGCTTCTGTATACTAATCTCACTCTCAACATAGAAGCCGGGGGGTGATAGCTGTAAACGCACATTTAATCCATGTTCCTACATACGCATGTGTGCATGTTCCCGAGCTTTGCATCCAGTTACAACCGTTTAGACCACACCACAACAACTACTTGAAGAAACAGATAACAATTTTGTCACTTTATTTTGTCTCTAGTGCCCATTCTGACTAGGGGTCATGCTAAGTCTGCATTTAATTACTAGAGTATGAAATATTGACACGTTATGTTAGATGAGAATAATATTTTTTTCTTTTATTGCATACTAGCGCTTCCTTGGGCTGAACTCAGAAAGAGGGACAACCAGGTGTCACGGTAACAAGGACAGGGGAAGCTAGTCCAGAAGAAGGCAGCAACTGTCAATCCCCATGTGGCCACGCTGATAAAAAATCTCTTGGACTTCGAGTGGGGCTTTATGTTGCTGTCTGTATTTTTCCACACAAGACATTGGAAAAAAGAACACCAGGATGCAGTGTGCTTTCTCTCCTTCCTCCCTAGGTAACACTTTTAAAATTGTCTTCAGTTCCCTAAAAATAAAGTGCCAGGCTGTGTCTTGGTTGTAAATTGTTGAAAATGTGTTATTTAAGTTATTTAAGTATTTTGAATGTTTTTTTGTTGTTGAATATGTTTGCATTTGTTGTAATAAATCCAATTTTATGTTACTTCTATTAGCATTTTTTAAAAATGTGATTACTGTTCAGGGGCATCGTGGTAGGAATAGTAAAATAACAGTATACTGCTATACAGCAGAATGATTTTGTCATAGGCAGACCGTATTCTCCACGCATATCAGATTGTGGAGGGTCACCGTTGGAAATATCCTCCCAGCAGCTCTTTCAGACCTGGAACAGTAATCTAAGCAACAACAACAAGGACAAGTATCCTAACACAACAGTTTGTCCGATAACTTGGTTATGTTATTAAAATGATGTCCTAATTGTCCAGTAAAACCTGTCAACACAGCGTTTTCAAAGAAAACTACCTGTAACTACCTTGTTCAAGAAAATAATGTGACATTTGGTTTGAACAAATTTGGATTAAACGACTACGGAAGTGGGGTTAATGGAGTAGGCAGTTCAGTGACAAATAAATCAAAGTTGACACCTTGATTCACACGATGTTGTCCTGGTTGAGAGATCACGGATGGAGATCCATTCCCCTTCCACCTGTGGCCTATTGACATCCTTGTTCATGATTACGTAGATACTATACAAAATCATTTCGTGGGATATTTGTAAAATGTGGTTTATTACGAATGCTAGATGTGACCAGATTTTGTAGCTGTGCCCTGACAAACAGAGCAGCTGCAACAACTGTAGGCATGTTTTCCATACCATGAAAAATAGTGAATGTTCCTTTTTTCAGATCTGTTGAGAAACGTTTAACTCCAGCACCTTCATATGTCGCAGATTTTAAGCAATTACTGTGCTAACAAAGGTAAACGATGCAGATTAAATAACATGAAAATCTGAACCACAACCCCCAGAGAGTACTGTGTTCAGGCTGTCAGTCTGCACATGCAGCACATACATGATGTGTCCCTCTGGTGCCTCTTCCCACTGAGAATTTCTCCAAAGAGCCCCTGTTTTACTTAAGGGTTCTGTTCCAGCATGCTGTCTGCCAACTGTAAGCCGGTCCCCTCGGGGCTTGGCTCCATCTACTTAACTGCCAGCTCTCGTGGACAGCTGAAAGCGACCACAGGAGCTCAGAGGCGCTCCGATTTGCCAGCAGATGTGAAAAATTCATGATCTCATCTACATAAGTCAATCTATTCTCAACGCGTTCTGAGGCACGTTATAAAAATACAGACTCACACACACACAATGTGCCTTTTCTTCTGTAGGTGCTAAAAAGAGAGAAACCCGTCTGAGAAAAGATGGTTTTTAATTGATAAAATCACTCACAATGGCTTCTTTTTTCCCTTTATGTCTGTAGTAATGTTTATTTGTGTGAGGGCAATGCGTGTTATTTTTATTTTCATTTTACTGATTATGCATTTCCACCCCGACAAACAAGTCAGTAACTCCCAGCTCAGAAGACAATAGAAGTCCACAGTGGTACCATTAGCGTGGTTGAGCCATTACAGTATGTATGTGCACACGTTTCTGTGCATCCTAGCTCATGTTTGTAATTGTAATCTCATTGCCGATAAGGTCCAACTGAATTTTTTCCACAGCTTCAACTAAGTGCTTCTTACTGGGGTGTTCTCAGTACTGTCTGACCTTCTCTCCCCAACAGCTCTCCTCCCTCTCCCTCTCATCCGTTCTATTAGTAGGTCAAACACAATCGCAAAGAATGAACAGTGTCTTCATTCACAGAAGATGGCAAAGATAAGCCCCCCTCCCAAACTAAAGAATTTAATTCAATTTGAGCTGCGTAAAGCATTTGTGTATGTGTATGTTCATAGATTTGCACCTGGCCTCAAGGCGTGATCTTCCACGGAACTTGTGCAAGCTAAAAGCAAGAATAAAGACGTGAATGACAAAATTATATATTGCCTCAGTAAACTTTGTAAATATGAATTCATGGTCTCAATCTCTAGTTTAACGTCTTCTTCAAAACAGTATGATGTTCTTTAAGTCAGATGAGTTCGATTCCATTGAAGCCACAATATTACCAATATTATGACGGTGAGTGTAATCCAGAATATTTATCTTCAATGTCAGCTGTGGGATGTAAAACATCTTTTTAGCTATGACACTTTAAATACGAAGGATTCTGTGGAGCTCTTGAGTCAACACTAACATCATTTCAGCTCTTTCCTAAAATACTACTACTAACAATTCATTACTTTTTGCAGGAATCTCAGGCCATTTTATTGCATTACTTTTTTTCATAGTTTCGATCAGTTAGACGTTAATGTTTCATCAGTCTGTAAAGTAATTCTACTTGTCCCCTACGTAGAAGCTTCTGCATCTGTTTTTTTTTCATTCATTTTTCAGCACTCTTTAGTGGCTATCTATTATTTTGATAAAATATGTAGAGCACATTTTCATCCTTTTTAACAGGAAATATTCGTATAAGATGTTATTAGTTTGTGATTTATTTATTTATTTGTGTTATGAACTAATTTCTACTGTTTTATTGGTAATGGTTCATCATCATCACCCAGGACCTCTAGTGGGAGCTGAACATCAGCTCATCACCAAGAAGGCTCAGCAGAGGTTGTTCTTCCTGAGGCAGCTGAAGAAATTCAAAGACGATGATGGTGCACTTCTACACGGCCATCATCAAGTCCATCCTCTGCTCCTCCATCACCGTCTGATACGCTGCAGCCACAGCCAAGGACAAGGGCAGGCTGCAGCGTGTTATCCGCTCTGCAGAGAGGGTGATCGGCTGCAATCTGCCGTCTCTCCAGGACTTGTTCGCTTCCAGGACCCTGAAGCGAGCTAAAAAGATCGTAGCCGACCCCTCTCACCCCGGACAAAACCTGTTTGTGCCCCTTCCATCTGGCAGGAGGCTGAGGTCCATCAGGACTAAGACCTCCCGCCACACGAACAGTTTCTTCCCGTCGGCAGTCGGGCTCATCAACAGAGCCCGGTCTCCCACTGACTGACTGACTCTGACATTCCACCGGTCACTTTCTTTCATACTGCACATTTCACTTTCACTTTTCACTCGTCACTTTTGTCAATTCCTGTTCGCTGGTGCACTTTATTTTTTAATTTTTAATTTTAAAATATCTTTAACTTTAACTTTTATTCTTTTATTTTAAACTTTCCCATAGCCTTATACTACTAACCCATAGCGCTATATTTTATTTTATTCCTCGTGCACTGTCGTACTGTCTGCTGTTACACACCAACCGCCAAGTCAAATTCCTTGTATGTCTGACATATATATGGGCAATAAATGTTTCCTGATTCCTGCTTAGTAACAAGACAATTATTCTATCGTATGGCATGGCAACCGGTGGAAAAAAAATATTCAACCGTCATCAAGTAACAATTAGAAAATGGCCATGTGAGTTCAGCCGAGCAACAGCTGTCCTCTGTCTTTGCCGTTGCAGCTACCCCTGACCTGTGTGGCCGCTGTCTTGTTAACAGTGACAACAACGGTGATGTGTTTTTTGAAGGTCGACTCCATTTGGGTCCTCGTGTGGACTTTTTAAATAGAAACGCCCACCCTGCCGTGATTGATAAGATTATGATTAATGTAAGCGGTAGTACTAGCTGAGTCAACATTTGCTGTGCCTAGTTTGGGAATAACTGAAAGACGTTGGTTTAGATTTTGTGAGCTGTGTTGTTTTACATCCTCCCGTGTTCTGTGAAGTGAAATTGTTTGTTTTTTTAGACAGAGTTGTGGGGCTTTGAAGAGAATATTTGAACAGATGTAGTTCTACATCAGCGAGGGCGGTTGGACTATGATGTAAAGTAACCATGGACAACACAGTAAACCACCACCTTGAAGGAGAAGTCATCTTAAGTGCAGCCGACATTCAGAATATTTTCCCCTCTGTATCTTGACCTTTTGCAGTGGGGAACTGTATCCGATATGTCAGACTCGGCACAGCCACAAGACACATTGTAGAACAGGTGTTGAATGGTCTAACCCCTTGTATTACTGTTTGATCGAAAATAACGGAGGGCGTCTGGTATCATGACGACCATCATATTAGTTGCTGTTACGGTAATACACACTGAACAAGGACATATTTGTGTGTAAATGTATCAACGTCATAACACAGAGATCTAAGTCCCTTCATGTGGTACAACGTTTTCAGAATGGCGGGCAGTTTCAAAATCATTAAAGAACTTAAAAGATTGAGAAAAAAAGACCCCACCCCCATTACTCTGAAAATGGAAGTGTCGTCCCGCTGTATTGGTAACAGGCGGAGTCTCAAACGGAATATCACCCGAACAGCACTCAGGCAAGAGAAAAGCCTTCTTTCATCATCTTTGAAATTTACATCTGGCCACATGGTGGCTTCATGTACCCATATGGGCATCTGCTGTTTTATCATACCATTATTCTTCTGGCTACAAAGGGCACTTTTCTGCACGTTGTCTCATCCAACTCCTTGCCCTTGCCCCATATTTTCCCTCACTTCCCGCCCACTGGTTCCCCAGCGATCAGTCATTCACTACATATACCAGCCCAGTTTCCTTGTTCTATGGTTGCTGTTTGGAGTCTGAGTTTGCCGTTCACCAGCGATAGCCCGTTAACGAGGTGTCAAAATGGCTGCTGGGAAATGTGTTGCAGAACGTGAAGAAGAAATACTGATTTTATGACTTCATGACTGATTGCCAACGTGTGTTCATGCCAATGAATTCAGATGTTAGATGGTTACAGAAACCGACTTTTCTATACGATGATATTTAAAAGCTCTCTACCTGGAGCAAAAAAAACAAAGCCGTAGCATCCCGATGATTGGATCTATGGCAGGTCTACAGAGAAATGTTGGCTTTTTTGACGAGGCCGTTAGTTGGAAAACCTGAAGCCAAAATAGGGAGCCGCATGAGTTCACTTGGCGCAGGGGAAAGGTACTCAAAGACATCTTGGCACTGAAAAAATTGTTTATTTTCCTTTTTGTCACTGTAAAAAGCCAGAAGCCCCCATTGCACACGGAAACGCTGCTTGGAGAATCTTTGACGATGTTATAATTGCGGCTGCCAGATTGCACCTCAACTGCTCATAAACTTGGACCTGAGAGACTGGAAATGATGCAACTTGCAAAATAATGAATCTGGGAGTGACGGGGTGAGTTGGGAGTAAAATTGAAGAACACGAGTGTGCAAATGTACCAAACCCTTTTCTTCTATAAAAGGTTTCCAGGTGGTTTAGCAGACAGCCGCTTGCTAAATATTCCACATTTACTAGGTGAATGTGTCAATGAACCCAAATCACTACTGTGAGTCTTTACACAAGCAACATGATACATGTGGGTGTTTTACCTGGCATTTCAACCCCCATTGTGTGCTACGTCTATGTCCCCATTGAAGGTGTGTGTGTTGTCGGAAGCTCTTCAAATGACTTTCAATCCCAGCAGTGGGTTGGGAGAGCTCACAGCACATGTGTGAGGTTGGGGGGGAAAGGCCTGAGGGGGATATGTGTGTGTTTATACCTGTCTCATTCAATCTCTCTTTTGAACTCTCTCTGTGACATCCCCTCACACTCACTATAAACCCATTCCGTTTGTTTATATACTGTATATATGTATTTATATATAGAGAGAGAAAAATGTATTAACAACATCTGAATGGACAATTTACACAATCTTTCTTAAGTTCATAATACATCTGATGTTTACGCAGAAGAGATTTTAAAAAATGACTCAAAAAATGATGCATGCAGTGTACCCTACAAACACACACAAATTACCATTGCTATTCGTTACAGTGTCTAATACAAAGACATAAACAGTACTAGCATTAGTCTGAATTTCAAAACAACAAACACTGGCTTTATTAAAACAAAAGCAGCGTGTGGTCTAAACGAATAGGAAGTCCTGTTACAAGTAGATTTCACAGCAAGGGGAAGATATAGTCATTATTATTTATTTATTATGATGCCAAAGCCCCCGTCAAAAGGACCCAATACATGCATAGTTTCTTTTCAAGATGAACAGCAGGGAATTTATTTTTTAGGTTTGGGTTTTTAGTTTAAGAAAAGAGTGTGTTTGGCCATAACTGACATGTCTAGCGGGGGACAAATAAGTGTGTGTGAACTATCGACTGACCTGAAAAGAAATGCCAAAAGGCACTGGCTGACAAAGCGTCACCATTGGAGTTGAAAGTGAGAACATGTTTTCATCTCAGCGAGTATTAAATGTTCTTTTCTCAAACTTTATTTTCTTGGATTTGTCTTTACCATCAGTTATGGTGTTAGTGTATTCACTAGATGACTTTTGAAGATGTGAAAGCAAATACTGACCTCTTTAAGAAGGACATTGAAAAAATGGAATAAAAAATGTAAAAAAGCGGAAAAATCTGTCATCGCTTACGTTTATCAGAGTAGCTACGGTTAAATGTAAAGGGGAAAACTAATTGGCATAGCCATGTTAACATTTTAATAGGAATATGGTCTCAGGCCAAACACCAGAATGTTTTGTGCATGCGAATGTGTCAGTGGGAAACATTAGTAGTTGCTCTTTAGCCAGAAGCCCGTTTTGCAGACACCGCCAACACCTGTTTTCTTAATTTTGACCACACCCTGTTAACTAAGTATGTAAATTTTAACAGGTGGTTAATAAAAAAAACTTTTTTGTTCTGTCTGTGCAATGTGTTAAACATTGATGTAGCAAACCCTAATCACTTTACATATTTGTATATAGTCTTCTGTGAGAAAGTTGCCAAAAAGAGTTAAAACTTTGACTAAAGAAAATCCCCTTTTATCGTGACTGCATGAAACAAATGTTGAAAGGGAGCTGAACAGGAATGCCCTGTCTGTCCTTTCTAAATCTCTACTGTGAAACTCTTACTGCATCTGTTGAAGTTAATTACTCATACAAAGCACAACCACTAGCTAGAAATTAATGATTTTTGGTCCACAAAACATGTTTCAAAAGGTCGAACTCTTAATGCAGTCAGCAACAGCTCAAAAATGTCAAATTAAAAGCACTCTAGTAGATCAGTTGGAATGTAGTTAAAGTGGTTTTTGGTTGTGAAGAGGAACAAAAGATGTGAGGATTTGCAGCGGTCTTAGCACACTAAAACTTGTCAATCTAATGACACACCAGCTTAGTGGAATGGCTGTTAGCTGATGCTTCTACTGTCGTTGCTTGTTAGTAACACTATATTATTATTAACATTTCAGTCATCTGCAGGTCTATCATCTTCATCATTCTACCACCCCAAGGCTGTGTGTATGTCTATGTGTGTGTGCGATCATGGCGATGGTGGTGTCTTCAGGGAATTGGTGGATCCTCCTTGGCTTCCAGTCTCTGTCGCTCCCTGTCCGACCCACTGGACAACAGAGAGAAAAAACGATCGGGTTAGATGCAAACAGGAGCCAAACAAATACCCTAACCCAAATCAACCCAATTGTTGGGATTTTTATACATGCCATTTGTATTGGGCAAAATGCATGTTATAAAATCCTGCGCAGTTTTAGTACATTTAGCATTATAATAAGAAAAAAAGCACGATACTATTCATGTCACTTTTTCAAACATTTAGAGAGAAATTCATGTAAATTCATGCAATACCTTTTCCAAGGATAATGTTTAGCAGTGACACAGTTGACACTCTTCTGGGGACCAAAATAAGTCTGATTTCATGGAAGTCTATAAGAAAATGAATTTATTACCTCAGTAAAAATGGTTGACTTCACAGTCTCAGTTCGACAGTTTCAGGTATTTTTCGATACAGCATGATTTTTATTCTGGATATTTAAGTTTACCGCTAAAAGAAAGGTATATACGGCATTACATGTGAGAAATTTCTTTCATCGACTAAAAAACAACAGGGCAAATGTCGTAATCCAAAATGGTTACGCCAAACTCAAGGCTTCAAAACAGCAGTCTACAAATCAATAGGGGATATTACGTTGACTACCTCCCCTAAAAGTAAAAAGTAATGACTAAAACCTGCTACAAAATGGAACCATTTCAGACAGTATTAATGAAAAATTTCCTAGGATTAGTTATTGAGCAAAACATATTTTTCCACCTGAATTCAACCCGCCTTGAAGCAAGTTGAGTGAGCACGTTTCCATGACAATATGTCTGAGCCCCTGCCACTGTGAGACAGGTAGATACCAGCTCAACATTGGCTTTCAAACACATCAGGGCACGCTTCACAAGAGCGCCCCCTGCAGTGTGCCTGAGTTGACCTCTCACTCTCGTGACAAAGTGGCGACAACATGAGCTTTCGGCATTCCCCGTTTTTGTTGCTTTCCTCTCAATAGCATTGGAACTGGCTTAAAATGACTCGAGCAAAGTCAGTGAATAATTAATGTTTGCAGACTGGGGTCAGAGGGTCAGCGAGGCTCCCTCCAACACTCCAGAAAAGTCTTCACAGGCTAAAGTGGAAAGACAACTGAGTGTATTTAAAGTCTGAAGGAGAGACACAAATGTTCTATGTCAAAAAAATATATATTTGTGTTTTTAATAAATAATAAATAAGTATGTGTTTGTGACGTATCCACTGTGCCTGGTTCCCTTGGGACCTCCGGCTGTATCTTTTAAAGAAAAACAATTGAGACATTGGTCTGGACCTCAGGTCCTGGCACTGTAATCTGGTGCTAATGGCCTCAGAAAAGCTCAGCCCCAAATTTTTTTTAATACAATTTTTTTTTAATCTTCACTTATATTTATTTTTTGATATTCACTGTATTATATTTTTCTGTTGCATATTTTATATTTTCAGATACAAATCTTATATTCTCAGATTCAAAACTTATATTTTCACTTTCAGATCTTTTTTTCACGTTCGGATCTTTTTTTTTCACATTCAGACTTTTGACCCTGATGTGGCGTAGGGGGCGGGGCATCAACCGGGAGGGGCGTGTCAGAAATAGCAACAGTTCAGTGAATGCAGTGTGTGTGTGTATGTTTAGTAAGTTTACAGAGGGTTATGCAGTATCTCTGTTATATAATTGTTTAATTTCTTTTTACTCACTAGACCATAAAAAAACCCAAAACGACATGGCAATATAAACTACAAGACACATAGAGGTCTCCTCATTAGTGTTTGTGATGTATTTTGATGTATTCTGCTATGAATGCACACTCTTTAGATATGGGTCACTCGACTGTACTCACCTTTTGTGTATTTGTTCATTAAATATTCCTAGACAAGTATGTTTATTCTGAATATCTCTGGGGGACCAGGAATAATTCTTTTTAACATACCATATGAAATCAAAGCCATTGCATACGTCGAAGGCTCTTCCCCTGTAGGTGACCTAACTGTTTTATATTCTTCAGCAGTGATCATGTGATCAGTAATCCTTTTCTGGAGATGACCTTTGATTTATTTTTCTCTTGCTGTGTTTTGGGCGTTTGTCGGCATCAGCCTTGGGGCAGTGATATTGTAACCCCCAGCAAATAACCAGGGACAGGTGAGTATGGGATTTGTCTGTTTAACCATAAAGAAGAAATGCTGCATAATATATCTTTCACGTATAGTTATGGTCCCCAGAGGATGACTCCTCAGGACTTTGTGAATTCCCTTGTTTTTTCCTCTGGCTCCACCATAAGGGTTTCCCTCAATGAATTGCAATCGTTTTGACAATTTCTCTTTTTTTATTTGGAGCCATCACCAGGTCTAAGTTTTTCATTTGGACAATAGTTTGTTTTATGAATACATAAATAAGCTTCTGACACCCACATCAGTCTCAACTGAACTTTGTGTTCATTAACAAACGCTAGCATGCTGACATACAGCCGTACAGCCTAAACAGATGCAAGAATTGCTGTGGAATCCTTTGACCAGTGGTTCCCAAACTGGGGGGCACCATGGAACTGCAACTTGGAACTGCAACCAACCCACAAAAACAGGCACACATTGGTATGAAATATGTTCCTATATCATCACCATCACTGCCTCAGATGAAGCTTGGATTGTTACTTACCACAGATTAAAACATGTATACAACTGTATGTAACAATACACAAGCAGCCCATACCTCTACGAGTGGGTGCCAGTGTGCAATGGGTTTCCGTGGGTACGACAGCATCTCATTCCAGTGGTTTCGCCCTAAGGTCTCTGCCTCATTGCCCACCCTGCATACTCCAATCACTTCATTATGTCCGACCCTGCAAAACAGGAAGAATAAGTAAATGTAGCTACAGTAGCTGCTGTTATAATTTGTAAGTCATAGAACACATTTTATTGTAAAAGTCAACAGTATAATATTTTTTCCAAGAAGAGACATCTTTAGAAAAGAAAAATGCCTCCATGTTGATACAACATACAACCAAAACAACAATTCAACGCCAAAAACACTGGCCGCTTTGTTAGAAAACCACACTTGTGCCACATCGCATTCAGCTACAGATCATTTTATTTCTATGAGCCCTGCCACTGATCTGGTTTGCAATTTTCATTATCATAATGATTCTTTTGAATAAAATTGACCAAAGAAATCCTCTAAATGTGTAAATGGTATTCTTTTTTCGTTGTGTCCTCGTGGAGGACCATGACTATTTTAATTATCCCTGCACATGGGTCTTTTGAGAGCACCAACTGCTGACACATACATTGTACTAAACTATATTAAATATTTCTGTTTTCTGCAGTACAGCTCTGATCATTCAACCCCAGAAGACTTCAGCTGTCCCAGCCAACAAACAAACAAACCACTAACTACAAAAAAGAAAAAACAGCTAATAAACAAAAGTCCAACAAACCACACAAAAATGCAATGAAGTGCAATAAAGGCATACATTTATATTTCATTTTTTTGTCCCTCATCCTTCCAAACTTGGTTTTCCATTATAGTTTACCACCTAAAACTGTCATTGTACGTAGTAGACTCGCTAACCGATCATAGTCCATGACCGCTATCAGCAGACTGATCTCATCGATGTTCTCAGGAGGAACGTCGAACACAATGGCTTCATTGTACACAGGGTTCAGAGTGTTCCGCTTTGTTGACGTCTTCCTCTTCTTTAGCCTCTGGCCTTCACACATCAAGGACACTTTCACGTACGGATCTGGAGAGAGGAAACCCATGGGGAGTTCATTGACGGCCGACATCTCAGCGGAAACGTTTCTTTGTCAGTCAGCACTCACCTGAAGCACCGGTGATGTCCATTGCTTTGAGATTCCTGGCTTTGATCAAGGTGATGGTGAGCCTGCCGGCCGTGGGGAGATAGCACAATGAGAACATCAGCTCTCCTAGGTCCACATTGTCCTGGAAAGAAAAGAGTACATTCAAATATTCATATTGATGCTCTCGTATTATCAATAATATAAATACACGAAGTGATGTCTCCTCTTTTATTGGTGACCTATAGGAAAGTATTTTTTGGAATGCTTGGGGACTTCATAGTTACAGCGTAGTTGGCCTTTAGAATAGGCTGAAACTGACTGCAGCAATGTGTGTATAAACATGTGCACAAGATACAAACAAATAATGAACTCCCTTGCAAAATCATTGCTCGATAGCACGATATCGAGCAATGATGTGTCACAACAGCTTGTGACACATAAACAATAATAATTGTACATTTATAAAAATGACGCCGCCAAACTGCATGCTGGGTACAGCTCACAACAAGAAGTAACTCTGTTGCTACATGAAAACACAGAAAAGAGCGATACAGGAGGAACAACAAGAGACCAGAGACCAACATGACCTGTGCCCTGCAACCCTCGTTAACTTCAATTTCAAGCTGAAAAAAAATCATTTTTTTCCCTTCCCTTCTGTCTAAAAATGACAGCTGATACCAAAAAATGGAACTACTGAGCTTGCAAGTAAGGAAATACTGTTAAGACATTGGGTTAAGCTTGAGAAAAAACACTTCGGGAGAGTCAATTAAATCAAAGTAGGTTCAGGTTCAGCGAGGATAAAGTAAAGGTCCCCAAACATCAATTGGTAGAATCGACAGAAGGCACATTATAATATTTTACACAAGTATTTGCACCTCAGAAATGGATCATCCATGTGACAGCTCCAGTGGGAAAAAACAACATGAAATCCTTATTAATCACATCTGAAACATGCCGCAACAGCTTGACTCATTGTTAATCAGCATGTTTTTCTATCGAAGAAATGGAGTGACCTGATTGTTTAAAAGATATGCACGCTGGTTTTGATTATTTGTTAAATCTCTTTAATCAGTATTTGAATAAAGTTGTGCTGTCTGCCATCAGGATGAAATTCTCCTCTCTTTGTGTGAGAATATCCCTGCTTTCACAGTTTACCCAGTCACGCACATGCCAAGCTCTGTTCCCAATTAACACATCTGAAAATAACGTGTGATGGTGTGAGAACGAGTGGTGAATCGATGAGACAAAGCCCAAACACAGCTTTTTACAGGGGAAACTCCAATCACTAGTTTTACGCGTTGTCCCACACATTGGGCTGACATAAAGCTCCCGCATAAGATACTGCAGTCAAACGTTTGCCGTCGGGCCGGGTGGATGGGGGGGATGTGGGGAGGTGGAAACGGTGCTTTCAGGGTCCGATCGATGCTGCGAGGTGCGTCCACTCCCGCCGCCATCCACGCCTTAAATCTTTGGCTACTCTCCAGCCACGCCGCCTGCCAAGGGCCCCTTTTAGAATAACTTATTTTCCCCGTTAAGATGGTTGAGCTACTGTAAAGAAAAGGGCACTGTCTCTCGCTCATTAATCTCATGAAGTGCTCGGCAAGAACGACAGCTTTGTTTCTCCGACGCGCCCTGAAACAAGCTCCATATCTCACGTGCTTGATCGCCCGCTCAGCATCTCTGCATCGTTGATCCATATATAAGGCGCTCCAGATTATAAGGCCCACTGTCGTTTTTTGAGAAAATTAAAGGCTTTTAAGTGCGCCTTATAGTGAGGAAAATACGGTAAGTATGTTTTTGAGAAACCTGCTAAGACGTTCCTAAGCTATATTCTCTTACATGTTGCTCATAAAAAGGAACTTAGTATGATGTTGAATTGGGCTCTTGGGAAAATGAGAATAGTTGGACACTTGGCAAATAATACCTTGGAAATACACAACCAAGTTGAACATAGGATCTAGGATCCTAGAATCTAGGATAGGATCTTGCAATTATAGGATCTTTGGAACATAAGAGCTTAGAATATTTGGACCCTGACAACATAGGGTAATGGGAACGTAGGATCTTGGGAAATTTAAGAATCATAGGTCATTGGAATTATGGAATACTGGCATACCTTGGGAACATGGGACACTGAAAAATAGTGCTTGTGATATGGGATATGGGACACAGATATGTCCTCAGTTTTGCTTACTCAATCACTACAAGGTTTATGCAACTATTTGATGTCTTAAAGTATTCTGTGCAATCAGTGCTGAATACACAGGATGTTAGTGATTTCCTACTGGGCCATTATTATATAGACTGCCCAGTAAAGGGTCAATTCAGCTTTTAGAGAAATGATTGTATCGCTTAGACATCAATATTTGCTCTGATGCTGATTAAGATTAATTGGATAACGTTGTAAGGGATGCCCCACACGCATACACACGCACACACACTTTAGGATGCTTTTGTTCAGGGTCTTCGACTGAAAATCGCTGAAAATTCAATATGACAAAATGGGTTGATTCATCACGGATGTCAGCGTTGACACGCCTGCAAGCACTGAAACAAACACGCATACACACACATACACACGGAAGCAGCGTTGTCCAGGATCATCACACAATTTACTGAGGCCTAATCCACCCCTTACACCGCATCATCATTGTTACCTCCCGGCTTGGGCTGTCTCTAAGGTGAAACAGGCATATGAATTTCTGACACAAACACAGGAACTCATAAAAACCTACAAACGCACACCAGCAGGCTCTTCCACAAAGTGGCAACAAACCCTTTAGCACATGATGTGATATCCTCCTCCCATCACACACGCTCATGCAGCACACTAGCTTCTGCTACTCCCCTGAGCACTCAAATCAAGTCTGCGGTCAGGATTATGGGCACTTGTGCTCGACCAATGGAATTAGAAAGGTGCTCGTAAGCGCTCCAATAAAGCACAGAGAGAGTGTGCCCAGTCCATTTTCTCCATATATGATACTAGCACCGACTCTCCCTCAGGGGCAGTGAGGCTGCCTCTACAAGCCTCCCTCTCGCTGTGTCTTCGATGATCGCAGGCTCAGTGTAACTCAAACCCTCTTTGCTCTTTCTCCATTTTTTATTCTCAACTAAGTGTTTTATGTTTAACGGAAGATTTGCATATTGTAATTTGTAACCAAAAAAAACTGGATCCTCCTTTTGAAAGATATGGATGAATCTTATTGTAAGTAGCTTTGGATAAAAGCTTCAGCTAAATGACATGTAATGTAATGAATCTATACTAGTTAGTTACGTTATGTTTAAAATGTCTCCAAGACCAAGCTGAGATATCCCTGATGACATCACTACAGTGTCTTTGTATTCCATTATTTTTACAGTAAATGTACAAAACAATTTGCCTGCTCTGAATTCAATAGTATTGTGTATTCATCACTGAATCAATGCTCTTGATTTAATATTGATTCGATGAAACGCCAGCATACACTAACCTTTACAGTAGCTGTATAAGTTCCCTTGCCATGTTTATTCTGCACTCCTACAGCATGAGAGCAGCAATTAATCGAAGGCTCCTGTTAAAACGTCAGTCACTTAGTAATACAATGTCTAGAGGTATATCATCACCTTTTATTCTACACTGTAGAATACATGGTCATCATTTTGGGGAAGGGAGAAAGAAACAACAGAGACAAGATTAAATAAAATTAGTGTCCGTGCGGTGAGAACAACGTTTTTCGTCAATTCTAAGAAGAACACCAGGTCCTTTAATGAAGAACTTGGGAAGGCAAGGTGACTTCCTGTCGAATAGGATTCTCCTTTGTGCCAAGAGGATTGAGAAAGCAATTAAGTTTTTGTGTTCATTCATTTATGTTAAAGTTTGATCTTCCCCTGAATCCAAATGATGCACATCCAGGCATTGGGTACAATATTTAGATTAAGGGCCTCTGATAGGACTTTGAATATTGTATCCCAGTGATTTGTCAGTTTGGGGCAGGACCAGAACACGTGTGTAAGATCTACTGGTGAATTGTGACATCTATTGCAGGAAATCATTTTGTCTCATATTCATAAACTGTATTTTTTGGTATTTTATTGAATTTTAACATTGGAAGGAACTGATAATCAACATGTTGTACTTGCCCCCAAAATGCAGTTTGTTCAGCTCACTTAACCATTGAAGATCCCGTTACATGAGGGCCAATCAGCACATTATACAGTATCTGCCTGGGTGAACACGGCGGAAGTAAATAAATCACTGCCAAGGCTGTACTTTGAGCTGCATAGATGAATATTCTCTGGCAGAATCAGGTTACATATCCTTCATAACTCTCAGTAAAGAATTGTTTAACACAGCGGTTCCCAAACTCTAGAATGCCCAATTTGAAATCTGAAAATCTTTCGCAGCCCACCCAAACCTAATCACAACTCTGATCAAAACATAATGATTAAATGACCATAAGAATTTAACCAAAATCAAACATCCGCGAGCAAAAGTCTGTCTCGCGCGAGCAAAAATTTGTCTCGAGGTATTTGTTCGCTCAGCATTTCGCCGTCATAGAGCGAGCTTTGGCATGTTTGGCAGAGCGCCTTGAGCGCCGTGTACAACCAGTATGGATCAACCGATTAACCAAATGATCCATATATATATAAGGCGCTCCGGATTATAAGGCACTGTCGTTTTTTGAGAAAATTAAAGCCTTTTAAGTGTGCCTTGGAGTGCGGAAAATGCGGTATATTTACTTTAATACTACAAGAGGGCGCCCCATTTGTTGAACAACGACAGGCGGACAAGAGCAGCCGTTTCGAGTGAGATCCTTATTGTTTTATTAATGTGTCTGTTTAAATTGTTTGTGCTTCATCAACTAATGTTTCATATAACTAATGTGCCGCATCATAAATATTTTTATATTAATTTCACACTTTTAAAAATTCAAAATTCAAAAACTTTATTTATTTATTGTAAATGACCTCTCGCGGCCCACCTGCAGCCACGGCCCACACTTTGGGAATCGCTGGTTTAACAGATACACACAAAACTGGTAGCTGATTTGTAGTCGAGTACATGCAATTGACACACATGAAACCTGGTATTCTGCAGCTTTCAAAATACATTTTAAAGAATAATTTACGTGTTGCAAGAAGCGCTAGCTCATGAATAGGCATCCATTACTTTATGTTATTGGCTGAATAAATATAAGGTAAAGCTGTTCATCGGATCAGTGTTTTCTCAGTGCCAAGTCCAGTTTTTCAAGCCAGGACCCCTTGTGTGTTTTCAAGAAGTAGGGGGAACGATGAATCCTTAAAACAGGAGACAATAAGACGTGGGGGGTGAGGAACCAAATTAATGATGGCTGAAATCCGTTACTTGGTTTTGATTTCATTGTGCTGGTATTGCCCCCTTTAAAAAAACAGAGCCATCGTTAGTGTAGTAAGTAAAACCTGTGCTCTTCCTACTTATGACAGGTCAGACTGTTTAATCAATTTTAGCACACCTAATGTGCACATCAACACCATTGACGGCGCCTCAGGGCCCAAAACTGATTTATGGTCTCCCTAAAATCCACCAAAACACCGTTTTTTTGGTTGGTTAAAATGGTTAAAACACTTGTAAGAGCCATTATGATGAGTGTCAGGATCTGATTGATGGGCGGGTCTGCCTATATAGGGTAGGAACCTTTTGGGGCTCGGCAGGTGTTTCCAGTCGGGATATGAAAAAGAGTTTTTGACCGCACGCTGGGTAGTGTCATGTTACGCTCTGGGTGGATGTACTGTATGTTAAATGTGTGACAGGAGTAAGTTGGCAAATTAATGTTTTCAACGTAACACAAAGGCTACAGGACTCTCATTCATCCTTCATGGTACAACAGCGGCGCATCAATTAGGTTTTCCGGACAAAATGCCTCAGTGGCTTAAAGCGTTGGCTTAGCTTTTACAACACTAGTGAACACAGACTGCAAGGATTGCATAGGCGTATTGATAATCAGATACATTTTAATGACCAAACACAAAATATTTGCATATTGTTGCATCTGACTGGTTCTGTCAGAAAGATCTACAAGCTGATTGGTTGAACACATACTTTAAAATCTGTGTTGAACTCACACATGAGTTGCATTGATTAGGTTTCCATACCAAAACCAGTACATATTGGCACTGGTTTTCGGTACCCAAGCCTACTCTTGACTGGACTGGTGCCACAGCATCCTCTTCGGCACATCCACCAAAATCATCAACAAGCTACTATACATCCAGAATTCAGCTGCCTGTCTGCTCTACTCTGTTGACCATACGCATCAACAGAATCAGATTTCTCCCATGGTCCCAAAAGGCACATGGGAGGACAGTGCGTGTTATTTGGTACCGTTTGTCACTGTTGGGAAATGGGAGCCTCCTTTACAGAATTAACCACACACACACACACACACACACACACACAAACCCACATACAGTAGAAGGTATATACTGTCAACTGACCCTATTTATCAAGGGCCTGAATTAGAGGCCAACGAGACTGCAGTCAATAGTATCGACTGGCCCTGCAGGAGCAGCGAATTACGTCTCTGAGGTCCTCAATGTCTTTGTCTCCCAAAAATCTACTGTTGAGGAGAAACCAGGCAAATTAATTTTGCCTAAAGCATGATGTCCTGAAGCATATTTAATCCATGAAGCAAACAAGCTGGGATGTCTCTCAACACAACTAAAATCATTAAAAAGACATGTCCTCCATTTCAGAGACAAAAGAGGAAACGCACCATTGGCATTTTTTCCAATATACATATGTTAACATCTCAGGAAATGATGCATCCAAGTGGTCAGCTGATTGACTATACATAGAGTCAAATGGATTACTGGATGGTTCATAATGAGGGGAGGAGTGAGCAGCAAGTCTGGAGAGTTTTTTCTGATGCTGCTTCATTGCTCACTTTGAGTTACAAGGTGTTACCAAACACCAAACTCACAGAATCATAAAGGTAACCTATCACTTATGTCTGTAAATTAACAAGACATTGACAGAAAAAATGTTATAACCTGGAAAACTATAGCTGCTAGATGGACAATTCAATTGTCCACCAAAACAAAGTTAAATCATTTTACAATATTACATTTTTGTATACTTGAGTCTACAGCGAGCTAAAAAGATCGTAGCCGACTCCTCTCACCCCGGACAAAAACTGTTTGTGCCCCTTCCATCTGGCAGGAGGCTGAGGTCCATCAGGACTAAGACCTCCCACCACACGAACAGTTTCTTCCCGTCGGCAGTCGGGCTCATCAACAGAGCCCGGTCCACCACTGACTGACTATAACATTCCACCGGTCACTCTCCTTCACACTGCACATGCCACTTTAACTGTAATTCATCACTTTGTCGTCACTCGTCACTTTGTTACTTGTTCGTTAGTGCACTTTGTGCTTAATATTTCTTTTTTAACTTTTTTAATATTTAAAATTTTTAACTTTATTCCCTTGTTTTATACTAACCGATAGCCTTATTTACTAACCCATTACATTAGCATTTCATTTTACTTTATTTTATTACTTGTGCACTGCTGTCTTGTCTATTGTCACATTGTCTACTGTCGCGCACCAACCGCCAAGACAAATTCCTTGTATGTTTGGCATATTATGGTAATAAATGTTTCCAAGTACCGACGAGAGTGGAAGGAATCATCGGGGAATCGAGTCACACCACCCCACCCATTTTAATGTGCAATGATTGCAGTCAGGAAATCAGTGTTTTCTGGGCTGAACACCAAATTCATAAGAAGACAGTATTTACATTATTAGCATGAAATAACAACACACAAATAAACAACTGCTTAACTTCACATAATTCGGCTTTGATATCTGTTGACAGTTATTCATATATCTGCTAGCGACTCCAAAAACGGTAGTTGCCCCAAGAGCTTAAATTATCATCATCATCAGACAGACAGTCGATGAGTCACGAGAAAAGTGAAATGTTTTTTTATGTTTTGAGCAAAGTTACCGTGTTCTAACACTGTTTGCCCATGGACCGGAAAACAAGTGTTCATCTCAAACTGAGACACACAAGACTGCCATCTTGTTTCTATAACACTGACAAACCATATGGAATTCCCTTGCAGAAGGCCCTAACTTCCTAACTGTGTTACTCAGTGTACCAACACTCTCGATTTAAGCGGATAATGTAATATAGACAGTGTCGCTGTATCTCTGCCAAACCAACCCCAGTCTTATGTCAGCGTAGATCCAGGTCACTATCCCCGATTGTTTCCTACTGCTTTCATTTAACATTAACTGTGTCTAAGTATATTTCTATGTTTCTGCCTCCTGAAACTACAGATTAGTTTCACTTGAAGGGGAAAGGAGATTCAAGTTCATTGATATATAACTCTCGCACCTGTTGTTACATTGTTTTTTGCCATTGGTGGGCAGATTCTGGCAAAACTCATGAAAGTGCATGGAATTTATGCTGGCATGCATACTGCTGGTCGTGTATTCAACATGTTGCTATTGCTTCCTGTTAGCAACCCGCTGTGGTAATCACTCTAAACAAATGTAAAGCTTCACGCAGAACTGTAGCATCAGTCAGACAGAGGAGGGAGACACAAAGTAGTGGAATTTTAAGAAATGGACAAAGGTGCTTTCTCACCGAGGTCACATATTGTACATCCCGGCACAGTTTAGTCTCCCGTGGAAAGTCGGCAAGATCCAAGAAGTTGTCCACCACCACTTGGCCAATTAAGTCATGACGAGAGAACCTGTCGAAGTCATAGACGCTGAAGTGTAGCTTGCGGCTTGACAGCTCGGCGTACGCCACAGGAAAGAGAAACACCTCATTGAACACCGGATTGAGTGTCTTGCGGTGCACCTTGGTCTGGTGCTTGGTTTTGCGGTCGGGCAGCAGGTAGATCTTGACGTAAGGATCGGAGGTTCCTGTGAAGTCCTTGGCGGGAAGGTCATGCGCCTTGTGGATCTTCACAATCAGCTGTTCTAGGTCAAAGTCAAACTTCAGGACAAAGAGGAGACGCCCACAGCCGTCGGGACAACAGCCATCTTCTGCGTCCACAGATCGCTGCTTGTAGAGCTCTGGTTTGATTCGGCCCAAACCAGAGAGTGAGTCTTGGCGTTGGAACTGAGCAGGGTTGAAGTCCGGATTGGACAAGTTAATCTGACGTCGGATGGAGTTGTGTCTGAAACAAAGTTTGATAACGGACATGTAAAAACCTTCAAACGATTCTGGTCGTCTCTTTGTCGTTGAGTCTGTGTTGCTGTAAGGCCACACCTAAGTCACTGTGTTCCTTTGAACCTGGTCTATTGCATGCTCTCAACTTTGTGATAAGGTATCTCTGAACCCAAACACTATAAAATGAGATTCTGATTTTACGGAAAATAACTTTTTCCAGTAGTTTTTCTGTTTCTTAAAATGATGTACAAACAGTAAAAATAAAAGTATTATCTGTAAATTAATATTCCAACTGTAAATTGAAATATTATGCTAATAATGACTAATTACATTTTCTCATTTTCTTTCTGGAATTATTATTGTAATATATTATAGTATTGTAGTCTCAAGTATTTGACTGTTTTCTTGAATTACAAGCGTACTTACCGTACGGACGAAGTAGGCTCAGTAATCTGTCTCTGGACCCTGTCTCGTGCCAGAGTGTGGACCTGGCTTTTCTCAACCTTGGTCTGGATCTCCAGGGGGATGTCAGGCGACGTGTGGCTTATCTTTAGGCCCGACTCTGGGACAGCCACAGCTATGAGGGGTCCCGAAGGCTCCTTTACACAGCCATCCTCGCTGTACTCTCGTTCGTCCCCGTCCACGTGTATGACGGACAGCAGCTTGTGTAACAGTTACAGTAATGCAAATACGCAAACATTACCATTTTTTAAGCCATCAGGCTATTGACACACATTTGGAGTTCAATGGTGGAACTGCGGTGATGGCTTACATTATGGTGATGGCTACATGTAAACGGAAACAAGTTGAATAAAGCTTATGTTCAAAAAAATGCAGCGTCCCCTCCTTGTGTAAGCCAAATATTATACCTAATGAAATAGTTTTATTAAAAGAGTAGACAGTGGCTTAGTTTCTTCTTCTGTAACATTACAGTACAATAAATTAGGGCATAAGATTTCCGTACATTATGGATTTCTCACATACCGTTCATACCGGTGTTACGCCATAACAACTAACATTGCCCGCCACCCCCCGTCAGCCGTGGTGTCCCTTATTGCGACGAACTGCATTTCGGGTAGCAGGCGGCGGTGCTTTTTGGGGTCAATGACTTAATGTGTTTACTTGATAAAGCTATACCGTCATATACCAGGATACCGTCAAAATCTCAATACCGTGAGAAATGTATTTTTGGCCATACCGCACAGCCCTACAATAAAATATATCTTAGCTTAATAAGAACAGGGACAGCCTCTCTGATGTTGGCTAGTAGGCCAATCCCTCAAGACGCCTATTGTTTTTCTTGGTTTGGTGCTGTCTTCTGCTGACTTTCTTTACGAATTCACTAGATGGACGATCACGAGGGAGCTGTGTGGAAACCATATGAATTGGATGTTTGGGATGGCGGCCAATTTGGAGAGAAAAAAACGTAACGTAAACCAATGACCCCGAGTGGGAACCTCGCTGAATAATGAAGCCAATGTGGAGATCCATGAAACCGCATCTTCACAATATGGTCACTTGAGGTTGCTTCAAAATCCAGTCAATATCCAAACATCCACAGCATTTTAAAATTCAAAACTCCTAAAAAGGTAATTGGGTGCTGTGTTAGGCCGCTAGATGCTAGCTGTCTGCTGTCAACTTTTCCCATTTTTGGATTTGCCACAAGTAAGTCGTGAGTAAAAGGATGCAGAGCTTAATAACTGCTCTTCAGAAACATATGGGTGGCTACTGTAGGATATTAGAAACAAATTGACGATCCGGTTCATAAAATTAATAAAAATGCATATAGTGTACACCAGAATACAGCCATGATTCTGAAACTGTGTAATCAATAAAGTAATGACAATATTGTAAAACCACTGTAATTCTGCAACTGTAATAGAACAATACCAATGTGCAGTTATGATTGTATTTGATGTAATGTAATCAACTGGAATGCATACATGTAATACTTGAACAACAACTGATATTGACTATGGGCCATTCGAAATCCGAGTTACATTGAACTCACCAGAAGACCACTCCCAGAGGTATGGACACTGACTTTCACACCTTTAAGCATTGTTATAAATACCTGTAGGAACCATTGCTCTCGAGTTCACTGGTGGAGGCGACAGACGGGCACTAGGGATGGTCAAAAGGACTGACCTGGGGCCTGTTGGTTGCTGAGACCAGTGGCTCCTCAGCTGAGATGTTCTTTTTACCGCAACGCCATCTCTTTTATTAAATACATTTGATTTAACCTTTTGATCAGCGATGACCTCTGTCTGTCCGGCGTTTCTTCATTTTTGAAAACAACACTACATAGATGGAGACTGCATATTTTATATCAACACTGGTTGCACAAAGAAAATACAAATGAGTCATATGACTAACCAAATATTGCTGGACATATCAATATTTTCATTTTTGGATGTCAACATCACCCTCCTTACCTCTGTGAGGACGGGCTGTTGGTCTCCTCCCAGGAAGTGCACTCCCTTTAGGAGATCTGGTAGGAAGCGGCCACTCAGTGGCACCCAGCATAGCTTCCATGAGACAAAGAGAGAGACGCTGAAAAGAGCCAGACCACAGGTGGTCACCAGCAGGGACAACAGGCTCACCGATACATCTAGAGATGGAAGAGAGAGGAAGGTGGGCTCAATGAACAGAAAGCACTGCTTTGCCAGGGAAAACCACTCAAACACTGTCACAGACAACCCTGGGTCCCCAGGGGAGACAGAGGGTGTTTACTCAGAACATTAAATGAGATGGAAAGACTATAACATTTTGGGTATTGATTTGATTTATGAGACCCAGTGTGTTGTAAACACAACATAAACTGCACATGCTCAAATCCAAACCATTAAACACCAAAAATAATCATGTCTCACCCTGTCTTCTTTATTACATGCTTCTACTCTAAAACTTACTTAAGACACTCGACAGATTGCTCTTATGTATTTCACTATATTTTAAATGTGATAAAATGTTATAACAAAGGATTGAAAAGGGCTTCAAAACCGTTTTGTTTCAGGTTATTCATTCAATCATACATTGTGGTAATATTTCGCTTGCCCTGATATATATCATGGCATTGTCTATCGAGGTGACAGAGCAAACAGAGCAGCAGCAATCATACTTTCATGGGGCTGTGAGTAAAGCAGACGGGTCACCAGAGCAATGGGCTGTCGAGTTGCTGGTGGGTTCTACACCAGTTGACTTCAAAATTGACACAGGGGCGGATGTGAGCATCATCCGCGAAGAGACTTACCACTCACTTATCCACATCCACTCGGTGATGCATTAAAACCAACGCAGCTAACAACGAAGCCTCCCTTGCATTCATTTACAATGACATCACTTCTTTATTCATTTTTGATAGAATATACACATTTTCAATAGAACTGTCCAACCCAAAAACGCAGACCCTCTAGCTAACTATATCAAGCTAGCTCCACAATTTACAAGCAGGAAAGGCACCAACCAGAAGCAGAACTGCCAACTCTCATGGTTTCGCCGTATCACACAAGCTTTTGCATGTTTTCACACCCACTTACGCCAAAAAAGAAGAATCTGATTTTGGTCTCAGACGCGTCCGTTCTATTTCAAACTCCCCGACGTGGGATGGCGCTAAGGGGCGCATCTGTAGCCCTATTCGCTGCATAGACATAGGCCCTTTCTCAATACCTAAGACGCCGGCGTTCTCGGGAGAATAGACTCGGGAGTCCTGACTCACGGGTACGGGGGAACGAACAGAGAACGGTCATTTCCGCAATTGGACAGTCAACAGCAGCTGACTTGATGACGTCACCGCATCAGCTGGTCTTTCTAAGACATTTTAATACAGTTCTTGACTGTTATGTATTTTACTATCAAGCTTGTTTCGTTTTCATTTAAAATAAAAAAATGGTATGTATATCAGACATAAAAATAATTAGGCAAAATATCTCAATGGATCAGATCAGTTGTCAGTTGTTGTACAGTCGAACATCTTTCTAAAGAAGATGAAGAGGAGCAGCTGTAGTTTGTGGTGCTGCTGAATTTGACTGGATTAGATTGGTGTATATCTAATTTTTATTCATATTGGATGGAAGAAAAACATACAAAGGGCTGTTGTATTACATCACTTAGCATTATCTTCATAAAGGTGTCATAAAGTAAAGAGGATGTATGATATAGCAACAATAATATATTGATATACAGCTAATTATTTATTGGATAGTAACACATTCCACACACACACCTACCATTTGTCTTCTTGTTACTCAAACAACACTTCACGTCAAGAGGCCGATAATCAGTGTGGTGGTCCTCGTCCATTTGAATGCACAAACATAACTAGAAATTTAAATGTACCTGAACCTCATCTGTTCCGCTACATCAATAGTGTTTAACCTCGTAGTATATCATGTATATAATATAGTGATCAATGAGGCTACATATCGTAAGATAGGTGACATCATTAGTGATTAAAGTCATGGTATTTAATATATATGATACAGTGATCAATCAACCTCCCCAATAGAAAATGAGTAACCAGCTGCATCTGATACCTCATTTTAGTTATTTTTGTCATGTGTTAAGCACTTTAAGCACTCTATTTGTTGCACTTTTTTGTTTGATGGAACGTGTGGTGGGGGTCCTTTTTTTAAAAGTTGGCAGCTCTGCAGAAGTATCTTTAAATGTACATACTCTCTGCTATCCAGTCAGATGTTATGGAAGCGTGTGAGAAGACTGCCTCTCCCTTGATTAATTCCCAGAGGAAACATTGCAAACATATTGCATATTGCAACAGAGTAAATTATGGTCCATTTAGAGTAATATTGACCATTAAGCAGAGTATGCTTCAGGGCAAGCTAACTGACAGGTTGCTGCCTCTACAGCGTCACCCTACGTTCATTTGGTGCAAAAAACAACATGGCCACGGCTATAATTCAAGGGGACAGCCAAAACTGCCAACTTTTGGGTTCAAAACTGTAATCAACAAACCAAAGGGTGATGTCACAAGGACAACGTCCACTTCTTATCTGCAGTCTATGGCAGTGACAGCGACAGTGACAGCCAGTCCCTACGGGCACCTCTCCAAAAGCTAGTCCTCCAAAAATGTTTTTCACAAAGGTGAACACAGATACAAAACAGATATGTTAACAACACTGTGGCTACTTTTTTTATAAGTTTGGCTTTTAGAATAAGTAAAAAAACAGTCAGCTCATTCAAGTCCAATTGTGAGACCCTTTTCTAAAGCCACATGAGGTCTCTCTTTTCAACTCTTTTTGCAGGATGTAATCAAGGTGCGGCTAAACCCTATACAGCTGGCAGCACATAATTGGATTCAAGAGCTTCAATAATCAATAAGCAAAAGGAAGTTGACAATTATAATTTAAAAAAAGGAAACGTTTAGTTAGTGAGATCCGATTAGTGTGGTGGGGTTACTTGAGTTTATCTATGAAGGAATATCTGATGCAATATCTGGTGCAATACTCTCTGAAGCATTAGAGGGGCTTATATCATAGGGTAAGTGGTCAAGAGGACACTACAATCACGTCCTAAATTGTATTAGTGGGTCCTTTTGGAACAAAGAACACGTCGGTTATAAACATGATTCAGAAAAGGCGCTCTTGTACTTGTACATGGATGTTTTAGAAAACATATCCAGCAGTGATACTTAGTGTAGTAAAGTTTTTTTTAGTCACATGAATGGGAATGATATCTTCTACAGCATTGTTCTAATTTTTACTGAAAAACATTAAAATAGTGGGGTTATTAAGAAATCTGTACCAAAGGTATTTCCTAGTTGCACATCCATGCAAAACTATTCAATAAATATTATATATATATATTGAAGCTGCTTTTGTTTAGTGCAAAATTCAAATAAAATAAACGAAAACATAATTTGTAACACAATTATTAATTATTTTAATTCATTCATCAACTGGGGGAAGTGTCATGGTGATATCTATTAGTAATTTCTGCCCTTAAGATTATTTTACACAGTCTTCCTACAGCTTAAGAATGCCTGGGAGAGTGTTTTTTCTAAAAAATTAATTAAATAGTAGTTAATAAAAGTAGTTGGCTATAGCTGAGGGAAGATCTAGGAATGAGTGGTACTTGTTCCGGCGTCGTAACGGTAAACCACTGTTATGTTCCGTGCAAGAATGAAAAGGCCAACTGTACTACAATAACAGGTTGAGGGAAGTTTCGGTATGAGAACAAGGTTGCCAATTTATCGTCGATAAGGCAGATTGTTTTGTCCAGTTACGTGATAAAAAAAACATATCTAAAGGTTTTGAACAACAAGGAGTCTCAGTGCCAGGAAGCATCATCGTCAGTGGGAGATATCATTGTCCCACACAGCAAATATATTTTTCCTGATAGGAGCCTTGGCAGAGGCGTTGGTTGCCTCTGATGCGAATCAAGCCTATAACCCCAAAGCGAACAGACGCACAGATGGCTGCTTGTCTTGATTTGGACTGAATCTCTCTTTGATGAGTGGTTGTATGAATCAACAACACGCTCTAGGGTGGAATATTATTTGACTATCCTGACGAAAGGAGCATAAAAGAGGCAGAGCTGCACCTAACTATGAAACTTGAAGGTTCCTGCCAGTTCTGCACATTTACCATTTGCGATATTTAAGCCTGGTGCAACCAACACGGCCATTTCTTAAGTCCTTTTGCATCTTCTAGTTAGGCTTTTTTTACATCGTAGACTTATTTATGTAGACAATTTTGCTCACATGAGTAACTTCCTGTACGCAACAAAGGTCCTTATTCAAATACCAACCTTTTTAACTGAATAGTTTTGTTGCAAAATAATCAGTTTTGTTAACTTTAACCTAAACGTTCAAAACTGCGAGAGGGCATCCGACTACGGAAACGGCTCAAAAACAACGATACGCCTTTCCATAAGATCATGATCAAGATAATGTCATGGTTAGTGTGACATGCAATGACGCTAACACATGCATATCCACCATCACATTTGTCTCCTGTCGGGGGCCAAGAGAGTTCCCAAGCAGGAATGAGGATTTATTCATTAACCTATTGAGCGTGCATGCATCCATCTGTGCAATCTTATTCTGTATTCAAAGTGTTTAACCCTCAGCAACCTACCAACAGATTGCCTTTCTTCTCACACAGCCGAATCGGAAGGCACCGTCATAGACATTCAGCTGGAGCTAAATTATAGAGCGGCTCCTGTCGGGTAACTTTATAGATCCATAAATTGAATTCATCCTAAATATCCAAAGCATACTGGTGGTATGTGCACCTGTGGTTAAATCTAAACTGTCCGAACCTATTTTTGTAGGGCGTTTTTGTCTCCCTCCCAACTCAGCCTCTTTCATTGTGTACTATAATTCACTATGTCCTTTTTCACTAGGACACATTACCAGCTCAAGATCTTGCTACAATGATATAACATTATATTAAACCAATTACAAAGATGTTGCAAGGGAATGTGGAACACTGCAACTTACAAGGGGTTAAAAGATGTGAGGGAGGACTAAATGCATCATTGCGATCAATTTAAAACATGCCAACTTAGAAAGGTTAGAACCAGCATGATGCAATCCTGCCGATGTGTTGTCTTGACCGAGGAAGGAGACGTGGATGTGGCTATGCTCGTGGC